AACCTTTGGAAAAGGGCTCAAAACTTTTGGAAAAGAGTTTTGATTCAACATCAGAACCTTTGCAAAAGGCATCACAAGCAAAGTGTACAGAATCCAACAGGCATACAAATGGCCTGCTAGGCAAAACAAATAACTAATAAATAGTGAAAACTCATATATAATATATATATATATATCGATATATAACCTGAAAAATATACAATATAGTAATAGCAATGTTTATGAAATTTAATATATTTTCAATAAATTAGGTCTGACTTATTAAACAATACAGAACAGTTATATTATAGATTTTTTGACTATATATATATATAGAGAGAGAAAGAAGTAGTTGATAATATTTAATATTTGCAAAGATGTTTCCATGTACATGGTTTGTTCTTGTTTTCATGGCATGTAAACATGACACATGAACATGACCAACAGCATTTCATTTTGCCTGGAAACAAGTAATGAATACTGAACATGAAATAGAAATGAACATTTCATTCAAACCAATTTGAGTAAGAGTGAGATTTAATTCAATATAATCTTAAAAGATCTAAATATAAATTTTAACATATCTTAATTTGGCTTTTTTTGGACCCAAAAAACTATTTGTACATATATCAATATTCATGTTTGGCATTTTTGTACAAATTCATAATTGTTTTTTTTGCTATGTGTATGGGTTTGTTTGTTTTCATGACATGTGAACAGAACACACCTTTTTTGGGGGGGACAAACATCTATATTGATTTGGAATTTTGAAACATAGAAACCCTTTTCCACAGGCTTGTGGTTGCAGAACCCCTTCAAAACTATCCCATTTTTGGACACAAATTTCATTTTGGGTTTTTTTGAGACAGGTCTGAACCTCAAAAATTCAAAAAAATGAAACCTGATCAAACCTGATCAAATCTGATCAAATCTGATCAAATCTGATCAAATAGTAGGTTTTGATCAGATTTGATCAGATTTGATCAGATTTCATTTTTTTGATTTTTTGGACCAAATTTTGATTCAAATGCAATTCAACTTGAAATTGAATGTGAAAAAAATGGATTCAGATGTTTCTGCCATGGCAAGCCTTTGGAAAAGGGCCTTTTGTGCTCAAATAAGCAAATGTTTCATGTTTATATTTATTGGTTGTAAAATATGTTGTTGCAATTGTATTCATATATATATATTTAAATATGCACAAGGTTTGTGTCATATGTTTTGAACAAATAGTTGTTGTTGTTAATTGTTTTTTGAATATGTATTTATAGTTCCTTAATTAATTCATGTATATATATATATATATATATATGCTACCCCCCTCCCTGATCTAAATTTTTTTATTGTTTGAAGGTTTTGCCAGGCACTGGGATATGCATGATCTGGTAGATATAGTCATGGATTTAGAATTTTCCCATGGGAATTCCATACAAATTCCCCAGAAATACCAAAGAAGAAACATAGGAATTCTTTTGAAATCCTACAAAAATCAAACAGGAATTCCATGGAAATACCAGAGAAATATCATAGAAATACCATGGAAATCCCTTGGAAATATCAATAAAAAAACCATGGACATCCCTTCGATATATACCACAGACATCCCATAGAAATCCCAGAGGAATTCCATTGATATCCCTTTGAAATACCAAAGAAATCCTATAGAATTTCTGTAGACATCATAAGAAATATCACAGACATCCCAAAGAAATCCCATGGGAATTCCATTGAAATCCCTTTGAAGCACCAAAGAAATCCCATAAAATTCTTTTGGCATCCTATAGGACATCCTATAGAAAAACCACAAAAGTCCAATAGAAATCCAATAGACATCCAATACAAATCCCACAGAAATTGCATAGAAATCCCTTGGAAATCCCATGAATTTCTATATAGAAATTGCAAAAAATACCATGGAAACCACACAGGAATTCCATGGAAATCCCTTAGACATATAGAAGTACCTTGGACATCCCTTAGAAATATCACAGAAATCCCATAGATTTTTTTAGACATCCTAAAGAAATATCACAAAAAATCCACAGAAATCCACTAGAAATCCTATAGAATCCAAGAAGTTGCATAGAAATCCCTTAGAAAACCTATAGCAGCCCTACAGAAATTGCAAAGAAATACCATAGAAATCACACAGGAATTCATGGAATTCCCTTAGACATATCATACAAAAAACCATGGGCATCCCTTAGATATACCACAAACATCTCATAGAAATCCCATAGGAATTCCACTGATACCCCTTTGAAATATGAAAGAAATCCAAAAAAAAATCTGTAGACATCATGTAGAAATATTCAAACCAACACTTAGAAAGCAAATAGAAATCCTATAGGAATTGCATAGAAATCCCTTCCATAGAAGTCCCATAGAAAATGGGAAAGGACTACCACAGGAATCACACAGGAATTCCATGGAAATCCCTTAGACATATCATCAAAATACAATGGACATCCCTATGGACATCCCTTTGAAATACTAAAGAAATCCCATAGAAATTCTTTCGGCATCCTTTAGGATGTCCTATTGAAATTCTCTAGACATCCTATAGAAATATCACAAAAAATCCCATCGAAATCCAATGAAAATCCTACAGAAATTGCATAGAAATTTCCTAGAAATCAAATGCATTTCTATATAGAACTTGCAAAGGAATACCATAGAAATCACACTAAGAGGTATTAGGAGGTACTAGGAGGTACTAGTACCTCACACATTCCAAGATTCAAGATTCTCCAGGACTCCTGGAGAGAATCTTGGAATAGATCAGGTAGTCAAGCCTGGTGATGATAGCATAGCAATTCCAAGATTCTCTGCAGGAGTCCTGGAGAATCTTGGATCTTGGAATGGGTGAGGTACTAGTACCTCCTAGTACCTCCTTGTACATGCCGAAGCCAAAGTCAGATGGTAGAAGTTACTATTTTTTTAAAGCCTCAGTAATGAGATATTGCCTCAGTAGCATACAATGTGTGGTGGTGATAGCATAGCAATCCAAGATTCTTTCGAGGAGCCCTGAAGAATCTTGGAATCTTGGACCTTGGAATGGGTGAGGTACTAGTACCTCCTAGTACCTCCTATGGTAGAATTTACCATGTGCATGTGGTATCCCTTCTAGAAACTACAAGCTTGGGTACCTTGGTATGTATATATATATATATATATGATACTCCCCTCAACTAGTGCCAAAATGAAAACCATACAAATCAAGCACAAAACAACATAAATACCAATAAAAGCATCAGTTTCACCAAAAAATGTAGATCATTGGGTGGGTTACCATATATATATTTATTTATTTATTTATTTTTTTAAATTATCTGTCTTTATCTATTCATCTTACAAATATATATTTTTTTACTTATCTATTTATTGATCTATTCAATAATGTTTTTATTTTTTTATTACCTATATATTTTTTGAAACATATACTCAGTTCAGTTTTTAGGTGGTTTTTGAAATATTTATTTCATTGATTTTAACAGCTTTCTGTACATTGAAAAAATCCTCAAGTCCTTTTCCAAAGATTTTCAACTCTCTTGCACTTGAAACTCTTGTCCAAAAGTTTCAAGCCCTTTTTCCAAAGATTTTTTTGAGCCCTTTCCCAAAGGCTTTGAGTTTCTTGAGGCCCTTTCCCAAAGGCCTGTTAGTGGGTTGCCATTTTTTTAAAAAGTCTTTTCATTTGTATTTTTATTGATATTTTATTTTTTTCTGATTCATTATTTGTTTGGTTTGTTCAGCTGGCCCCTTTTGGGCCTGCTGGGTTCTGTACAGTTTACATTTGAATCCTTTTGCAATTATTCTGGTGCTGAATTCAAACCCTTTCCCAAAGGTTTTGTGGGCTTTGACCCCTTTCCCAAAGGCTTTTCTTTTGAGCAGCAAAAATCAAAAGAAAAACCATCAACGAAAACAAGCAAAATCAAAAAGGAATTTTCGAAAAATCCAATTTCTCCTTTTGATTTTCTCCTTTTGATTTTACCTTCTCAAAAAAAAATCAATTAGAAAAACATAGGGGCTAATTGATTGTAATCAAAAGGCGATGCTCAGGGCACGGTTCAACCGCGGAACCGTGGAGCCAAACCGTGGCCCACGGTTCCACGGTTCAACCGTGGAACCGTGGAGCCAAACCGTGGCCCACGGTTCCACGGTTCAACCGTGGAACCGTGGAGCCAAACCGTGGCCGACGGTTCCACGGTTCAACCGCGGAACCGTGGAGCCAAACCGTGGCCCACGGTTCCACGGTTCAACCGTGGAACCGTGGAGCCAAACCGTGGCCCACGGTTCCACGGTTCAACCGTGGAACCGTGGAGCCAAACCGTGGCCCACGGGTTCCACGGTTCAATCGTGGAACCGTGGAGCCAAACCGTGGCCCACGGTTCCACGGTTCAATCGTGGAACCGTGGAGCCAAACCGTGGCCCACGGTTCCACGGTTCAACCGCGGAACCGTGGAGCCAAACCGTGGCCCACGGGAGCCAAACCGTGGCCCACGGTTCCACGGTTCAACCGCGGAACCGTGGAGCCAAACCGTGGCCCACGGTTCCACGGCCAAACCGTGGCCCACGGTTCCACGGTTCAACCGTGGAACCGTGGAGCCAAACCGTGGCCCACGGTTCCACGGTTCAACCGCGGAACTGTGGAGCCAAACCGTGGCCCACGGTTCCACGGTTCAACCGCAGAACCGTGCATGGAGCCAAATCGTGGCTCACGGTTCCACGGTTCAACCGTGGACCCGTGGAGCCAAACCGTGGCCCACGGTTCCAAGGTTCAACCGCGGAACCGTGGAGCCAAACCGTGGCCCACGGTTGAACCGTGGAAACCGTGAACCGTACGGTTTCCACGGTTCCACGGTCACGGTTGGAGAGTGCCCGTCGCCGCCCTTCTCAACTATGGGAAAATCACCATGTTTCATGGGTAAATCAACTAGACATGGCCATTTTCAATGGGTAAATCACCATTTCATGGTCATTTCGGGTGAAGTCTTTCAGGTTTCCACCGCTTCGCCACGGCACTTGCAGGCGCAGTGCCCCCGGATGCGTTCCGTGCGCCGCGCGAACGTCGGACGCGCAGTCGGCATGGCGTCCCACCAGGCGGGCCGACTCTGGGGATGCCATTCCTCGAAACTGCTCTGCCAGTCCTTGGCAGGGCTTGGGTTAAACCATGGGAATGGTAGAACTCCTATGGTGAAAAAAGTGCTCAAGTAAGGTATAACTCCTATGGTCCTATGGTGAAAAAAGTGCTTAATTCATGAGTTGGTGAATTTTCCTGTGGTTTTTCGTGCTAATTTTTCTGTGGTTAGTGCTTACTTAATTACACATCTTCATGGCTAGTGATTGATGCTTATTGATGGCTATAGCTATAACTCTATGGTGAACTCATGGTGCGAATCCACGTAGTGGACCACTGGAACTGCCCTTCGAAGAAGTATGGCCGGCCCCGATTTTTTTCGGTGAAAAAGTGTATATTCAAAGGGTGAACGTCATTCATGAAACAACATGAAATTCTATTGTAGATATCAATATATATATATATATATCAATCATATGTCTGGATTTTCTGGTTCTACTATATGAAAAATCCATGAGGAACTATGGTCACTCAAAGGGTGGAAACTAGGAATATCTGTTTTCCAAAAGTGTGCAACTTTCCAAAAAGTAACACATTTGAGCGAAATTGCCAAATCCATGATATTCACAGTAAGTGATTCTTCTGATACTCCTGGTATTGAATCATCCCGCATCATCCCATTTAGTACGTGGATGTACGTAACCGGGGTCTGAAGTATCAGCCGTTTATAGATATCTGGGTAAAAATAATATTTCACTAACCCGAATAGTTCAGCCAGCTAAGGGGATGATTCCCCTGAAATAAACCATGATTTCCAGTGAGGTCGTCATGAAATATACCCAGAATATATATATATTATTACATATATATATACATATTATTATATATATATATTTATAATGTTCCTATATATACTAATTAAACTTATACATATGATCCTTATATACATAAATCATATAATTTACCCAGATAAATGGGAGAACCCCCCAGTGAATGGGGACGGACTTAACCCCCGGGATGATCGAACGGAGAACGGATTTTTCACCATTGTTTGGAGTCTAAGAATCTTCAGGTAAACCATGCTATTTCGATTAGGGCCATCGAAAAACCATGGCGAAGTGTTAGTCATAACCAGGTTGGGTAAACATGGTGCTATGACGAACTTGGATAGTATATGATAGTATATAATCCCCAAGTCCTAACCATCACTATCAGTTTGTCAATATCATTTATCAACGATATTCCCATGATATTCCCGTATGGAGGTCTCCCAAAATGGTGGTACCCCCAGTCATCATCCATTTTAATCGGATTTTCCATGAGAAACATTGAGTTTATCCATCCAGCTATTTATTGGGGTGTCCCCATGACCGAAACTCTATGTTCAATGGGAATTTCAGGATCCTAAAATAGTGATACTGTACAAGATGGGGCCCCCAAGATAGCTAAGTTGGTTTATAAGTGGTTTAACTATGGTTTATGGTAGATATAACTATAGTTAATGGGGATTATAATGGTTTATAAACCAACTTATAACTGGGGGGCCCCATCCTGTATCATATTGTTGGCCATATGAATTGTGGGGATATTCCCTGAAGTTTAGGCCCTGAAAAATAGGCCTTATATATATATATATGGTAGGTGCCTCCAATCAATCGGTTCCTGTTGCATGGCCATTGACATGTTGATGGTTCAAAGATGTTCAAAGAGTTATCTCAGGGTTCTGAAGATCGAGGCAACCACCCTTGGCGGCTTGGCCACAAAACTGGAGCTTAGACCATGGACTCAGCACTGGAAATGGTCGATTTATCAAACCACTTTTGGGGGAAAGCCATTTCTTCCGCAAGGCTGTGCTGTGGTTTTCATTGCTTCTATATACCCTCTGGTAAATTAACATAGACCCTGGCAGATAGGGGTTGGAAGACTAGTTTCCATTAAAAATGGGTGATTTTCAGGGTCTATGTTAATTTACTGGAGGGTAATCCAACTGCAAAGGTGATGTGGCAAGTGGCAAGTGGTGATTGCCGTCGAGCAAGCCATCTCTAGATTCAACATGATTCAACAGTTCATGGCCAATCTCATGTAGCCTCTGGTAATTCAACATAGCTATTGAAAATGGCCCAGTCGAAATAGTGAGTTTTCCCATTAAAAGTGGTGGATCTTTCCATAGTTATGTAACAGTTTACCAGAGGTTAAACGGTTAAACCTCCATTAATCACCATTAGACCCCATTCAACCACCACGAAATCCCATTAAATCACCATTAATGGCTCAACATGAATTTCAGGATGAGAGGCTTGTCCCTTCTCCGTCAAGTGTCCAAAGCCAAGTGATCCGGGATGGATTCATCCTCCACAGATCCCAAGCAGAGGTACGACATGACCTTCCCATCACCTTTCGCAAAAGCAAAGGCAAGGATGGCGAGAGGTGGGAACATCATCAATGGATCATGAAATTCTGTGCTGCTTGGTGCTGGTTTTGAGTTTCAACCCCTCTGAAAAATATGAGTTCGTCAGTTGGGATGATGACATTCCCAATGGGAACATCAAATTCCATGGTTCCAAAGCACCAAGAAGACTGAAATCTACTCCAGTTCTTCACATTTCCACATTTCATGACGGCAATTCATCGGCAATTTTTTGATGGATTGGATCAAAGGTTTGGACATGACGTCGGCAGAATTTTCGGCATAACATGAACGATTCCATCAAATGGCGAAGGATATGACTTCAAATCTACATTGACATCCATTATATACAGATATCCAATCCAGATATGCCCAGTATATCAACATTTTTCCAAGACCAACTGTGACCAACTCATGAGTTTTCTATGCCAACAGGATAGAGGTATACCCATCACATAGCCATGAAACATACCCGTTACCTGGAGAGTCATCCAGTCATCCCAGTTGGGTTATCCCGTGGTACTGGTGGCCAAAGAGGGGCATGGTAAAGGTGTACGCAAGGAATATGATGAACATAGAATGGTTGTAATGATGGATAATAGTCATAGTATAGTAATGGGATATTAACGGAGAATCATGGGATATGAATGGATTTACCCTCCACTAATCAAACATGTTTTGCTCGAAAATCAACCATTTATGGATGATTTTCGCAGCCAAACACCTCCATTTGTAGGGGATTTCCATTGCCACGCTTGATTACCGGAGGGTATCAATGATGTACCCAAGGTGTCTTGTGTAAAATGCATGGATCCCATCCACTCCATTCAGAGAAAATAAGAGACAGAATCTGAGCTATGGTAATTCCATCGGAATTCCTTCCCTATTCGTTTATTCATCATTCCCGTTCCACGTTCCCCCCCAAAAATATGGGTCAATCCAATCCAACAAAAATGACCTTAGCACATATCAATTCCTGAAAGACATGATATTAGTTGTATACAATATATGTCCAATATAATATATCCTCCATATCATCCCATGGTCATCCCACTATACACCCATTAGTACAATGTGGCCCCCCCCGGTTATAAGTTGGTTTATAAGCCCCAGTAACTATAGTTATAAGTACCATAAACCATAGTTATTGGAGATATAAACCAACTTAGCTATCTTGGGGGCCTCACATTGTAGTATATAACCAAGTTTTCGGCTCCATCGACCCCTTGAGACGACACCTGGTTTTCGGCTACAAGTGGCTTTCCACCCTTCGAGCTCCAAGCTTTGTGAAGCAGATACCACACATAAACCTGGCCATTTGCTTCGGTAATACGGAAAAAACCCCTTTGTCAAAGATATCCATATGCCATACATTGTATGCCACTCATGAATCACATAGACAATGGTAGACACCAAATTGAACACTGAAAGAGTCGCTAGATTACCAACATGCTACCTATTTTTCTTCAAAACCAACCTGATCCCCATAGTGGGGCATAGCTTTATAACAGTTTTATACACTCTTTTCCAACAATCTCCAAAAGAAATTGTATGGAATATTACATCCCGCACGAATAGATGGCAAATCAGGCATTGTTCTTGATTGGTGGTTCATAAACCCTTAATACACCCTAACATTTATTGGGAGGATGACCTTCTTTTCCATCATCGACCAATTTTTGATCCCAAGCCCCACATATTGAAGGTATCCCGTCCCAAAAGGTCCCAAAAATGGGGTTACATCCCCCACATCCACAATGGTTTCTGGAGGGGTGTTAGATATGAACGGAAGAAGGGATTAGAACTCTTCACTAAGATGTACTAATAAGATGGAATATTGTTGATATTTGTTGATATCTGTTGATATTTGTTGATTACATATCCCATCATTCCATGATATTCCCAGAAAACCATAACCATAAACTATATGTGGGTATAGGTCAAGTCATTGGGTACCCCAAAAAGATGATGGTTAATACATTTAACACTAAACCTATATTGAAAACTGTGGTCCCACGGGGCTTAAATTTTGACCCCACCCCCCCATATCAACCAATATTCATTGTGCATCCCACTAGCCGCCGACCTTTCCATCGCTCCAGCGACAGCACAGGAATCCTGATGCACTTTGATGCTGCTTATTCCTGGCGCAAGTCGTGACGCCCAGGCGCGACAGGGGCTCAGATGTACTGCATGCAGTATGCAATGTGGTAAACCCAATAGGAAAGTCCTTCTTTTTTGGTTGGAGACTATGATTTTTTTTTGGCATTTCCAGCATTTTGCACGTAGCAAAACAAGGTTGGTACCCTCTGGTAAACGAACATAGCTATTGAAAATGGCCATTTATAGTTGATTTACCCATTAACAATGGAGATTTTCCATAGTTATGTTAGTTTACCAGAGGTTAAACCTCCATTAATCACCATTAGATCCCATTCAACCACCATGAAATCCCATTAAATCACCATTAAGCACCATTTCCTGGTTTATACTTTTACTTTACCACACATTTTCGTTGGATGCTGCTGAATGCCCAACCCCAGCGAGCGTTCCGCGTCCTGTCCAGTTCACCGTGGCGGGAAGATAGGCGGCAAAGGAAGTGGAATGGAAATGTCGACAGTTGGAGCAATAACATCCTGTTTTCACTGGATTAAAGGGAATGCCCCCTAAGTTGGCAAAGTTGGTTTATAGCAGGCTTAAGGTTTATGATATCAGAACTGGTTGGTGGTATACCTACCCCTCTGAAAAATATGAGTTCGTCAGTTGGGATGATGACATTCCCAATATTGGAAAATAGAATTCATGTTCCAAACCACCAACCAGCATCCTGCTTTCACTGGATTGAAGGGAAAATCTACAGGAAAAGATATGGTTTAAAGATTGTTTTTCAACCACCATCAAATTGCTTGGGGTTTCCTGTAAATTTTCCCTTAAAGCAAGTCGGTGATTAAGGCACCTCCCTGAAAAAAAATGTTGTACGACCCCCTTGGGATTCTAAAAACCCACATTTGGTGAATAGCAACTAAAGTCAACCCCGGATTAACAAACCATGGTTTATGAATTAGGGGGGTACTCCTCCAATAGTCATACTTAAATAGTACCCTCCCAATTAAACAGCCTAGAGGTTTATTAGTCCAGGGTTGACATTACATCAAAAATAATGTGGGTCTGTCCGAAAATAAGGTAAAAAAAACAATTCCATCGATCAGTCATCATTAGTCCGACATTTTTCAATCACCATCCCCATTTTCAGACAAACCCAACGGCCATAATCCCCTCAGCCAGCATCTAATGGGTCTCAAGCCCTTGGTGTCACTGAAGTCGCTTTGCAGCTGGCATTTGCCACAGTGGCAACGTGACACGAATCGCAGGGCACCGTGACCCGCAGGATCTGCAGTGGTTAAAGGTGAGCGAAAGTTGGTGTCATATTCACCTGCTCGCCAGAAACTGAAGCTACTGACACCACCGAGACCCTTCTTGGCCCGGTACAGCACAGGTACAAAAAGGCACAGGTACAGCGCCGGTTTTAATTGCCTGACTTGTGGCTGTGTGAGATATCATGGCAAAGAACAAAGTAGGCGAAAGGTCATGTGCGAAACAGAATATGTCGCTACCCGGGTCCAAGTACATCCACGTCAGCTTACCTTCACTACTTTGCCGTTAATCGTCAACGCTGAAACTCCAACATGTCAATGTTGCTCTGGAGATCAGCGTGCAGTGACCATGGTTTCTCTACACATGTCAACACAAAGGAAGTCATCGATTGGCACCATTCAACCGCTAAGAATCCCATTGCATTTCTGGTTGGTGGCAACCCCTCTGAAAAATATGAAAGTCAGTTGGGATTCTTATTCCCAAGATATGGAAAAATAAAAAATGTTCCAAACCACCAACCAGTATTGGTAATCCCACAAACCCACATGCTCCATATATGGTAGATTTACCTACATCAATTAGGGTCGTAAAATTGGGTCCCTTCGGTAGATGTCAGGTTGATATCATGGTGCACATACGACAAACTTGGAACAAATGCGATGTATATATAAAATATAATCATAGTGCACGTATGTGTAATATATATATACACATATAGCATGTGTATAAATATACATATATATATATACACATTATAATATAATTTACACACACAAACACATAATATCAAATAAGCCAAATAACCGAATATCTTTCCCAAGAAAAAAACACAACGGGTAAATCACTTGGACCCGGTGAAAAAACATCGCCGAGCTGCGGCATCGCGACGCCAGGTAGTGCCGGATCTGCTCCTCTGAGACACCTGGATTCGCTTCCAACAACTCTCGAACCAGAGCTTCCATGGCACGAAGCTGCACCGATTGGTACCTAGTGGAGCTAACCCTCCAGTAAACTTAGCGGCCATTTAGAGGTTTACTAAGCGTTAAATTACCAGAGGCTGCCTGGCAATTTGGAGCCAGAGAATGGGCACTGGCTGGTGAGTTTTGTTTGGGAGTAAACCACCCCTTTTTTCTCGGGGCATCGACAGCCATTGACCCACTGAACATGTGGGCTGAGTGTCCGTGAAACAAACAAGTTACGTGATTTTGTTATTCTGTTTTCACCTAGCTTATGCGATCCTTCTCACATGTAGAGCAGCATCTAGCATGTGCTTTGATGACTTGACCGCTTGACATAAGAAAAACTGGTCTAGTCAGCTTTGGCAAGGACGTGAAAGGACACACAAATAGCTGACCTGATTTAGACCTGCCTGATACTTACTGGTGCTTAGCAGGGAATTTTCGGGAATGATCCATAGTCACTAGTAATAATCATCCCAGCAACCCCCAGCAACCCATCCAGCAACCCTGCGTAAAACGCACCAGTAAGGATAGCACATCTTGAGCCAAAATGACGCCACATCTCCATGCGTGCCATCGTCAAAACATGGTACCTGCGGTATGGTCTTCCTGCCATCATGAATGGGATTCCTTACAATCAATACATTATCATACATTGACCATCATTAACTGTGATTAACCATCATCAATTGTCATCAAACCATCATTAAACCATCCAAAAAAGCCATCATTAACCCTCATTAAACCATAACGGCACGATCTCCTCATAGCCATCACATTCTCCTTCCAGCTTAGTCCTGTGATGTCATCCAATGGCGAAAGAAATGGAAGTGGATCTGCAACTGACAAAATTCCAAGTGGATCTGTCTTCGACACGACACAATAGACTCTAATAGGCATTTAAATGCATTTAAGTTCATGTTCAACTGGATCTATTTTGATGTTTTGTTTTTAAAAATTTCACAGCGATGATTCGGATGTTTTTCACTGCACCTTTTTGATACTGAAAAAAGGATTGATTTGTGAAGGCATCTATCTGGTTGCACAAGGTGGTGCCCCCCTAGTTATAAATTGGTTTATAAACCCCATTAACTATAGATATATCACCTATAAACCATAGTGAAATTGGAGTTATTTGCACCAACTTAGCTATCGTTTGGGGGCACCACCTTGAAGCCAACATATTCAATTCCGGGCCACAGGACCTCCTCAGATCTGCAGAACATCAATTTCCCGTGTCATTTCTGGTTGGTGGTTGACCTACCCCTCTGAAAAATCATGGAGTGAAAGTCACTTGGGAAGGATTATATATCCCATATATGAAATGGAAAATAAAACATGTTCCAAACCACCAACCAGTTTTCATGTTTCCTTCCGGAATGTTTGGAAGCTGGTCATTACCTCCAGAGCCTTTGGCGAACTTGTACAGACAATTTCGGGTTGGACAAAAAAACATGTGCCCTATATTTCAAACCAGTTTAAAACTGCATTTTCCCAAGCAAAAAACAAGACTTGACATATAAAAACTCCTAATCAAAAACGGCGATTGACAAATCTCCATAAATATCTGGGTAAATTATTAAATATTTCACTAACCTGAATAGTAAGGCCTTTTTAAAGGGGATGATTTCCCTTATAAAAAAAATCCTGATTCCTTCGGGAGAACAAGCTTCGGTCGTTGTGAAAACCTGACATTTGCCCAGCTTGCCATGCTTGCTGAAGGGTATCTCCTCAGACCTGTGGGGTTGGTGATTGCTCAGTTGGTGAACGTAACTCCAAGAACGCTTGGGTTTATGGTATCGAACTAGTCAATGGGGCCTAGTTAACCTGAGCCAAAAAGCATCCCAGTTAATTAATGGTTTACCAAATATATGATGCATTTATACTTTATGATTGACCCCCAGCTAAGTTTCTTGCTTTATAATCCATGGAAAACAATTCCACCAGTTTGATATATGTAGCATAAACCAACATTTGTTGGAGGTAACATCAACAAACGCAACTCACCAGCACCGCACCGTTGGGTCGAGCGAAAGCGACAGGTCCTGAGTTTCAAGTTGTAGCTGCTGCCGATTTGCGCCTGGCCAGGACATCATCACAATACGATTATTATCATCGTCATCGTTATGATAATATAGTTGATTTACCCATTAAAAATGGTGATTTTCCATATTTTTCCATAGCAAAATGTTAGTTTACCGGATGGTAAATAGAACTAAAATTACAGTGACCCCCATGAATCCATACCCATAAAACACATCTGGTTGGCGGTTTTAACAATCTTGAAAAATATGAGTTCGTCAATGGGAAGGATGACATCCCATATATGAAATGGACAATAAAATTCACGTTTGAAACCACCAACCAGCATATGTAATTATTACATATTACTACTATCATGATTACAATAATTAATTGGCATTACGATCTGAAAGACTCTCATAGAATTATCGTCATTATTCAATGCTTGAATGTTCATATGGTGGTTGTCAATTTGCTTTGAAAATTATTTTCGTGAAGTATTACCAACTATAATGAACTATTATGACTATATAACTATTTTGTTGTGTAATTTGTTCATCGATACATATTGCAAAACTATCATCATGATGCAACAGTCGTCTATCCACTCAGCAGTCACGGCTCAGGTGTCACTAGGAAAGTCGCACCAGGAAATGCCACTGAAAACCAGGGTTCTCGTTGATGCGAATCCCAATGACTCAGTAATCACACTTGTAAACCAGGTATATGCGGGATATCACTGATATCTGTGTAATCATTAAAAAACCCCTAGGTTGTTTAATTGGGGGAATAGCACGTAAGTATCAGACGAAATGACTATTTGGGGAGTCCCCCCAAATTGTCATAAAATATGGTCTAGTCTCATCCGGGGTTGATATTACCCTCTGGTAAACAAACATAACTGTGGAAAATCACCATTTTTCATGGGTAAATCAACGAACTAAATGGCCATTTTCAATAGCCAACTGTTAGTCATTACCAGAGGGTATATCCATCATTTGCAGATGAAATTCCCATGATCACCTCCATTTATAGAGATTTCATGGACTTTTCCCACCATACAACCATTAAATAACCATTAACAATCCAAAAAAACATCATTTTTCCCCATTAAGCCTCTATTTTCCTATGGTTTTCCTATGGTTTTCCTATGGTTTTCCAAAAACATCACATCACTTCCCCATTTTTCGTGTAAAATCTGACACACTGCACCTGTGGGACCGTCCACTCGGTGTTGAATAAGAACTCCAGCAAGTCCCCCAACTTCAAGTTGGCCTGGGAGACACGATGGAAATAATACAAAAATATGTATATATAAATATGTATATACCGTATATATATATAATATAATATATGTATGTATGTATGTATGTAAGTATATATATATGTATATATCTGTATATATATTATATGTATTAATAAAAATGTCATATACCTCCCCACAGAAACACCATCTTTGAGCTTTCCGAAAAGTCATAGCGTAGCCCAGTTATCCAGTCGTGGATCCCATGGGATCACCAAAGGTAACCGGGAGCCCACCTCGGTTCGTAAGTGGCAAGCCTTAAATAAACATAGGAAAACCATGGGAAAACCATAGGAAAATGGTGGTTTACTGGAACTTAATGGGATTTAATAGGATTTAATGGGATCTAATGGGATTTACCCTCTGGTAAATTAACATAGACCCTGGCAGTTGTCGGGGTTGGAAGATTAGTTTCCATTAAAAATTGGTAATTTTCAGGGTCTATGTTAATTTACCAGAGGGTAATATATAATGGTGGTTAATATGATGATGATAAAATGATGGATATATGATGCGTATATGATGGTGATTACCCTCCGGATCCCTCTGGTAAACATACAAAAAAACTATGGAACATCATGAACATCACCATTTTTCATGGGAAAACTCACTATTTCTATGACCATGTTCAATAGCAAACTGTTAGTTTACCAGGCCGGGTAACTGGAAGATTGGTCACAAATTATATCCAATCCTCATCATATCTCAGAAAATATATCCACAAGAAAAATGGTTCATCCTCATTCTGAACATATCATGCAGCCTAACTTGTAATAAACGTTATGGAGTATGATATTATAGTAGATTATATTATATGATGTTATATTACATTAGGTTATATTATATTAAATCATATTATATTGTACTATCTTATATCATATACGATATATAATGATATGTCTAGTATAGAATATACATATATCTATATTAGATATATATCATAATATAATCTACAATATCTATATGATATAGAATATCTATCTATCTATCTATCTATCTATCTATCTATAAATAATGTTCGTGGGCCCCGACGTGCAAAAACCTCACCCGCTGCGCCTCCAAAGTGACCAAGTTGGCCGTCACACTTTCGTCCGTGCGAGGGGCAAACCTGCCCCCGTGCTCGGCTGCTAGGCCGCTAGGCCAACAGGTATACAATCAACATTAACCAACAATAAGATAATATATAATTATAATATATATATAATGATGGTTAAGATAATGATGATAAAATGATGGATATATGATGGGTATATGATGGTGATTACCCCTGGATCCCTCTGGTAAACTAACATGTTGCTATGGAAAATCACCATTTTTAATGGGAAAACTCATTATTTCTATGGCCGCTTTCAATAGCTATGTTAGTCTACCAGAGGGTAGTGCCAAACTTCAGCTTCCGGGAAACTGAAGACTGGAAGCTGATATCCTACACTGAACAATTTGCCAAATGATATCTGTTAAAATCTGTATAACTTACTTGTTCTATTCAGCAAGGTATAACAGGATAAATCCAATGATATCTCAGTTTAACATAGCATGATTTTCTCCACTGGGTTATAAACACTAGTTAGTAATGTAGTACTATTATGGAGAATAGTGTTATGTTGGAACTACATTACTAACACTAGTTATTATGGAATAAACGGTTATAACTGGTTAAAAACACTAGTATTATAGTTATAAACATCGTTAATCATAACATGATTCCAACGAAACATCTTTGCATCAGTCTCTGTTGTGATCTGTGAATCTGATGTAAAACCCACAGTACTGGGATGATGCAATACCAGGCAATAGTAAGGTTTGGGATAGTGTGGCACGTTGGCTTTAACGCATAAAAAAACGAAACCCAAGGATCAACCTACAACTGGAGGATGGCTTATGTATCAGGGTCAAAACATTGTATATGCATTACCGTCATCCATCCCATCTATGTTTTTTAATAAATATATAATCCTCACGAATGGGTTGATGACAATCTGCCAATAAAAGCAATTCACACATGTTTTGACCATGGCACATATGATTACCCACATGACACGTGAAACATGTTAAAGGGAACGCCTTGTCACCGCCTATCGATGAGTTCCAGGTTGCAGGCCGCTTTGCTAATCATCCCGGCAACGAAGCTTCAACAGATTCAACAAATAGCTATGATTATCCCACTTAAGTGATGAAAAAACATCCCAGCTTTGTTTTGCTATCATCCCAGCTATTTTGAGTATATTATATATTTTCAATATGAACATATTGTACATATATTATCATTATGAATATATTTTCAGAATTGCCCTAGAAATTTCCAGCACAACTTTCGCCTGTGCGAGAGCTCATTCCAGTTGTCTGGCTTCCAGCAAAATGGATTCGACCTGAAGTTGAGGGTGGCCCATGGTCACCCCACCCAGAACTTACCACCAGAGGTCCAGCATGTTGGTTTTATTTATACAGAGTCACTGAGAATATATATATATATATGTTATATGTTATATGTATATGTATGTAAGATATAGAATATGAAATGGTGATATGGTGAAATTTCATGGGATTTCATGGGATTTTATGGGGGCATGGTGGGATGCAATGCTTCATCATATTGGATTTAGCTAGTCCAATGGTAATATGGCTAATTGGTATATAATTGGTATATCAAATGGATTTCAATGGAATATATACCAATTCTATACCATGGGGATACTTAAGCTATATTGGTATATCATTGGTATATTTCCTTGATATCCCAGTTGTATAATTCTGGGTAAATTAAAAGATTTCACTAACCTGAATAGTTCGGCCTTTTTAAAGGGGATGATTTCCCTGCAATAAGCCATGATTCCAGGGCTCGGTCGAACAGTGAGGTCGTTACAATTTACCCAGATAATTGGAATATTCCCCAATTCAATGGCCATTTCAGGAACCTAAATTGGAGGTACCTGCCATATATAAGGCCTATGTAAGGCCTATGTAAGGGAATATCCCCACAAAATATGGCCTTATATGGTACAGTACCTCCATATCAGGATCCTGAAATTCCCATTGACAATAGCTATTTTTCTGGGATTTCAATGGAATCTTGGAGATAACATGGGGATAGATATCGGCCCTCTGGGGGTATAAAAAACCATTGGTGAAGTTTGCACAGAAATTGCCATGGGGAAAAACGCAACCGAAAAAAGGTGACCTTTATGATTCTAGGATTTTTGTAGGGTTAGTGGTGGTATAAGTGGGGTGATTTACCCACTTACACCTGGAATGAACCAACAAGTACTAACCAACAAGTACGACATGCCGAGAATGTGGCTGGCACAGGCACAGTGCTCAGAATCGAACTTGAAGAAAGGGAATGATCCAAAGAGACGTCGATCTTCCTTCACATTGTCCTGAAGAAAATGCCGTGTAGAAGACACGATTGGGAAATATTGGAAACCAGCAAAGGGTTCTGGAAATGGTCAATGTTTATTTGCTACAAACAGTAACATACCTTCTGGCGATGCTTTGATTTATCTTTACTCTCCAGAGAGAATGTATTTGTCGAATGCGGAAGTATCATCATGGGACGACGGGTTGAATCAAACCAAGCAGAAGTAGAAAGTGTGTAGGAAAATGCTATAACCTCACTTGCCTGATTTGCATATACTTACTCACTCAGACATTCATGTCATTTCTGTTCATTTCATTTCGTTTCGTTTCAGTTCGTTTCGTTTCATTTCATTTTGTTTCATTTCATTCATCAGGATTTATCCTTGGTTTTGTGGGCATCTATAGACCTATTCAACAATATACTCAGCTACAAAGACCCAGAGACTCACATGTGCACGATACACCTACTGACCAAGGAATCTTAATTTCTACTTTTTGCAAACAAACGTGGCGATGGGAAACTCCCATTCTCACTGGGAAAACCGTATGTGTGTGTGGGTGTTTCTAACAATAGGGTACCTGGCGACCCCAAACTCCGAGGATATCGGAGGTCTCTGGGCTTTTCCCTCTCCCATCTCATGAAATACTGGTTGCTAAGTTGCCCTAATTTGTATAATAATCCCAAGCAAATAGTATAACCATGTATAACTCCTCACAACCAATCAACACGATCAACAAGGGCACCTCCTTTATGGCTCATTTATCTGGGGAAATTATAATATTTCACTAACCTAAATTAAGGCCATAAAAGGGGATGATTTCCCTTATAAGCCATGATTCCAGGGCTCGGTCGAACAGTGAGGTTGTAAAATTTACCCAGATTTATCCTTGCAGCCTTTGATCAGTTGTATCTACTCCCATCGAGCCTTCACTAAGTTGAACAAGGCTTGATTGATGAGGCCCACCTGCACGGTCACAGGTCACTTGGCCCGACTTCGCCCGACTTGATGGCTGCCAATATCATGGTGCAAAAATGTGCAAACAATATCTTCGAAGGATTTCGAATTTTCGATCCTTGAGGAACCAACTTACTCATGGCTTTGTCATGGAGAACCCAAAAGAAAAACGGTAAACGTTGATAGAAGTTCAGCAGGATATCATTTTCTCCAGTTGGATGTCTGAAAATGGGGTACCCCCAAAATTTGCCAGTGATTTTGAACGATCCAAGCCTAGTGGATTTAGGGATGCTGTTTTTTTTTCACCAAACTTTGCAATTTAATCCCTGAAAAAGGATCACCTACATCCACTGGTTGCTCATCATTCTCCCAGACTCTCAGACACGCCCCAGTTGGGGTGTAACCCTTGTAACTCTAGTGACAGCTGCATGACAGCAACCCCGCAGTCACAGGTTGGTTCATAAAGCTCATTAACTACACTCACACATATATATATATATATTATATGCCACAAACTCAGCAGCTATGTGCGTGATAAACCTTCGTGATTCAGCTCACTGAGGCACCAGCTTTCTCAAAATTATTAGTATACTGTAATAAAACGTAATATATATATAAATATAATGTGGTTAAAACAATGCCATAAATCACCTCATTTTTGATGGTTTATACCAGCCATAAAAATAGTGGTGACTTGGTGATGGTGCAAATGGCATTGTTTTAACTACACAAAAAATGGATCATACAGTAATACATCTGGAATATCCCCAGCTATATGTGGATTATCATATGAATTATGTATATATATTATATATTATATACTGGTTGGTGGTTTCAACCCCTCTGAAAAATATTAGTCAGTTGGGATGATTATATGCAAAAATAAAACATGTTCCAACCCACCAACCAGTGTATATATATATAGGTATATCTCCCCATTGTATCCCCATGACATCTTAACGAATTCTTGCCATGAAGCAAAACAAGGACCGTCCCCAACGAACTCCATGGACCGTCCCGAAGATACGGCTGTGACTAATTGGGAAGGTAGCAAAAAAACTTCATCAAATCATGACTATTGGGGGAATACCCCCCCAATTTTCATAAACCATGGTTTATTAATCCTTATATATATATTATGTATATTTTCTGTATATTATGTATATATATATATATATTTATGTATCTATTTATGTGTATTTTATGTATATCATTAGTATACTATAGTTACAATTTACCCAGCATTATGTATATATAAAGTCTCCAGCCTGAAATTGGCAGGTTTTCAGCTGTCTCAATTGATCCCTGCGGTGCCGTTGCGCCGGTCCTCTGGGATGATCTCTATTATTGCGAAATCGCTGGTGAACATAACTCGAATTTCAAGGACTTATGGATACTTAAGGTAGATGTGTGTATATATATATACATATATACATACATAATATATATATATATTTGTAAATAGCTATAGGTAATTGGGTTATAAACAAACTTATGACTGGGTTGGCACGACATTGTAGGGGGAATGGTTCAGCAGCTTTGAGAGAACCAAACAGCGTTTTTGAATCAAGAGCTTTATCACAGAAAACGGCTGATCAGCAAGAAAATCAGTCTTGCAACACAGTATACTCAGTATTCAAAGCCGCCAACCGTGGCGTTGACGCGGAAGTACCCTCTGGTAATTTAACATAGCTATGGAAAATCACCATTTTTAATGGGAAAATCCACTATAAATGGCCATGTTCAATAGCTATGTTAGTTTACCAGAGGGTATACCAAACATGTGCCTCATAAAGTCGCTGGACTTGGTTCCCTTCTGCATAATCCCATCCCTAGAAGAACCACGAGTGGCTCCTGCAGAGAAACCTCTGGGAACAGTTGCTGAAGAATTTCACGATTATCCATGTATGTCTACAGTGATCCCGAGAAAGAAAAGAACCATCAAACAATGGGACAAGGGACGTGTTTTACCATTTTTTCAACCTTGGGATCCCATAAGAGCCTATATCTCGGTCCACATTGAACCCCAAAGCTCGACTTTGAATCTTTGGTTTCTATTCTTTTCTCAGTATTCCCCAACAAAATAAGATTTTAGACGCTATTTCCAAACATGGATCCAGATTTTGAATGGATGGCTCGAAGGCTTACAATCTACATGAAACTCTGGTTCTTCCGTGCTTTTTACGAGCGTTTCTTGGGCGTTCCTATCGTTTCCCGTAAAATCTGTAGACTAATTATGCTTGTTACATATGGGGATGGGTCAAAATTCAAGTCCAAAAAGGGACCACTGATTTTAGTATATGTTTAGTAGCATCTAAAAAAATTGGGGTACCCAATGACTTTACCCACATATAGTTTATGCATACTTATGGGAATATCATGGAATCATGGGATATATATGGACATATAATCAGCAAATATCAACAATGTCAGGACCAACAGTGACTTTCCATGGCTTCCCGTCATCTCATCGGCAAAATCCATGGCCCGGTTGTCATCCCATCGCACCGGTCGAAGCGCAAGAACAGCGCCACCTGACGCGGACGCTAGCGCTACGGCGCGCATCTCATGGAGATTTTGCTGAACCTAGCTACTATTTGAAACGCTAGTATTGATATTAGGAAGTTGGTGGAAATAATCCCCAGTATAGATAGATAGATATATATATATATCTAAACTCTAAACCCAAGTTATTGGATTTGTGTTCACCAACTTAGCTAACGAACTGGAGCACCACGGTATGTGGGGAACTGTCCTCAGAATGAGGAGATGTTTTCCGGGGATATCCCGGGATGACCAAAATGATCTCCAGCTTGAATCAAAAATATCTGGGATTCTTCAAGGTTTTTTTCATGGGCAGTTTGAGATTTAACGCATCTTTGAAAATACTGAAAGTTCGGAGTCAAAAAATATCAAGCATGAGGCAAAGGCAAAATTTCAAATCAACAAACGCTCAGCGAGTTCGAAAGCTCTCTCCATATTAGTTCAGTCTACACAAGGGACAAACAGACTTGTGAACTCTATAAGTGGACCCATACATTTCAACACCGTTTCACAGTTCGGCTGGGAGATTGTTGCAAACGCTTTGAGATGTCGCAGTAGAAGTATATATGTTGATATAGAAATCTGCAATCAACATCAATCAACATAATTCAGAAACATCTATCTACAAATAGAGGTTTCCTAAAATAGGGCTACCCCCAGTTATCATGCATTTCTGGGATTTTCCATCGAAATAAACCATCCAGCGATAAAGGGGTACCCCCATGACTATGGAAACAGCGACATACCTGACAGCCATAGCCGACAGCCATAGCCGACCGCCTGCCTTATGCTCAAAAAAGTCAGTGAGGCTCTGGAAAATATTGCGCTTGAGGTACCTGACACATGCACATAAAATCACATGAAAAATGCCTACAGTTTATGCACATGTATATCATCCGCAGATAGAATTTGGATAATTTTGGATTTTCAAAGATATTCCCAATTTTGTGAGCATTGTTTTCAATTTCGATATTCTATCTACTCCAGAAACACCAAGCGATATGATTGTAGACTATTGTGTCTATCGTAGAAATATGATATAATCATATCTCGGATAATGCTGGCATGTTTGTGATAAAACATGCATACTTTGACTATAAAGGCCACACAGGATCTTAGTAAACACAACACTTTTAGGAGAATGGAGGACATGCGGTTTCAAAGGCTTGCTCAACACGACATGGTGCGAGATTCATAGCTCATATCCGGTAAACCTGTTATGAACTATGTAATTACCGTTGTGTGATATGTAGTTGTGAGTTCAACTTTATGACAGAGTAAAGTCTTAGCTTTTGACGAACAAAGGGACGAGGTCAAGGTCAACTGATAGAACCCAAATACAATAAGAACGTCAATAGCGCCAATTTAAAATGTTTGGCATCGTTAGCACGTTGGCTTTTATTGCTTCCACCGCCCTTCTCCATTCTGAGATTCACAGACATGACATATTCCTTTCCAACAAAATGTCCAAGAGTTCTCTCCATTTTGGGCGTGTCAAAAAAAAGCATTTGGGCGTGTCTCCACTTTTTTCATGGGGGTTTCCTCCTGGAAAGACAGCCTTTTCTAAGGAACACATGATGAGTTTCTCCAGGAATTTCGGGGACAACCCACGGACGGAGTTCACCAATACATCATCGTGTCGTCGAACATGTGACTGGCAGTGCTTCCCTGCAACATCCCGGCGATGCCCCGGCAATATCTGCCCCGGCGATGGATATCTTGTGACCAGAGGCGATGGATATCTTGTGACCAGAAAGGTTCAAGAAACCAATAGAAACCATCACCCATAGGATCCATGGTGCTGGTATATATACTAACATTGGGGGTATATTGATGATAAATGTAAATGTTACCATATATTGCATACATGGATCCTATGGGTCATAACCATCATGACCTGCTCAGAACGGGATGGGAACTCAACTTTGGGGACAGTGACTACAGCACCATGCAGAACTCAACACATGGACCCGTCGCTGATGAGAAACTGCGCATGCTCTCTGTCGCATGTTGTAACCACAACAGAAGAGCTCACCAAAGTTTCACCGGTCAAAACACATGTGAGCAGTGTTCAAAAAACTCTGTCAATCCATGTCAACCCATACAGGATGGGCCCCCCCAGTTATGAGTTGGTTTATAAACCATTATAATCCCCATTAACTAGTTCGTTATATCTACCATAGACCATAGAATTCAACCACAAAAATAAACCAACTGAACGCGAGCTCGACTGGGGGCCCCATCTTGTGTCAACCCATACTGATAGTGGTAGGACTTCCCTCATGGATTGTGAACATCTTCTGTCTGAAGGCAAAATACCCTCTGGTAAACTAACATGTTGCTATGGAAAATCACCATTTTTAATGGGAAAACTCACTATTTCTATGGCCATTTTCAACAGCTATGTTAGTTTACCAGAGGGTAACCCAACCCATCATCAACAGGGGTATCCCGCGGCAAGTTTCAGCGCCTGCATGTCTTCAAAGGACTTGATGGTCTTGTTGGATAAAAGGCTTGGCTCCAACACAGCACTGCTCTCATGGAAACTGGGCCGCAGGCTACGGCAGAGGTTTGAAGTTTTTCTTTGTCTCAGAATGATAATCTGGGTCTGTGGGGAATGGGAGATCAACCCCTAAATTGGCCATCTCAATACGGAACATGACGATCAACCGAGTTTCCCTTAAATTTTCAAACAGACTCACATGTTGTGCTCATGTGTTCTATTTCGAAGAGAAGTCATGAACCATGTAGAGATGGTCAAGCAGCGTCCCGCCCCACCCTAAAGAAATCGAGAAAAGAAGAAAGAAATATGGGTGTGTCCGAACATTTTGAACACGGGGTACATCCCGAACTAATGATTTTATTGGAAAACATCATGAGGAACCATGCGCCTGAATTGTCAGAGTTGAACCTGTTTCTTCGCAGCCTTTTCAAATCGTACCCTCATATATCCATGTTCAGAGAATATAGTAGGATCATTTTGACAGAAGTTTAACGACCGATGTGTATATATATATATACAATGGCAAAACACACTCTGAGATATTATGATGTAATATAATGTCATATAATAATGATAGTGTAATATAGTATAATATAGTATCAAATAGCATAGTGTCATATAATATAACAAATAGATATGTAATATAGTGTCATCTAATATAACAAAGTAACATACCGATAACACACCGATAGCAAACCAGTACCGTAACATATCATATAATTTCATTACATATACAGCGTGATTTCATTACCAATTACATACAATAGCGTACCTCAAAATATAGTCTTTTTAATAGAATATGATATAGTGATATAGTTAATGTAATTATAGTAATGATAACACAATATAATAAGAAATAATTTGTAGTATGTTATAGTCTACCATAACATATGGTTAAGTGGCATGTTATAAGTGTGAAAAGACACAGTATATTTACCCATCTCCACCAGAAATGAGCCATTTGTCAATGACATTCAACGGCATTCCCATTATTCCAATCCATATTCACATCATATTCCCATCATATTCCCATGATATTCCCATGATATTCCCCATATTCATGGCTTATAAATGCTTACAATAACCAATCAACCAAGGTCTGTTTTTAGCGCCAATCAATGTAGAATGCCCTGCCTTCCCAACTCAGCTTGGATGCTGTCCACCGCAGAAAGGGTCGGTGGGGTGGCCTCACAAAACCGGCGTCTCGAACGGTGCTTCTCATGGGTAATAATCATATGAAATACACCAGCAATGGGTTATTACTGTAACTTATACCATAACTTGTCTATCTATATATATGTATCAGTTATAATTATCTGTGTCATCTATATAGGTTGTGTGTACTACTTGCTAGCTGGGATTCACATTGTCTGTAGTTGTCAACTCTCCGATGCTGGTGTCAGGTGTCCACACGCTGTTGCTGGACACGCTTGACTCAGAAAGGCCCAGCATGTCCGTAATCACCACCTGCGGCGGGGGCCACCCTTCGGCCCCCCAAATTTGTCCCAAAATCGCCGGAAGGTATGCAGGTTCAGCCCGGCATAAACACATCGGAACTACATGGCACACACATATAAAACTATATATATATAATTAAAATGTATATATATATAATTACAATATATATATATAATTTATAATGTATATATAATTATAATGTATATATAATTATAATGTACATATAATTATAATGTATATATATATATAGATTTTGTATTTCTAGATCTGTTCATACTCACAGCCGCACTAAAATATCTAAGATTCACGCCTAGGCCTGCTCAAAACCTGCCGCTTGACAGTTTTTTCCGCCAGAAAACCTTCGTCATTGGCATCATCACGAGATGGGTGAAACGTTACAACACAAAGATAGAAAATCACCAGCCAAGGTCTGCTAATGAGATAATAATAAATATAATTTATATAATCACTTATGTCTACTTGATATAATTTTCTGACCAGAGAAGGCTTTCGCATCAATCTCCGGTCCAATCTCCCTATTCTGGGTCCCATCTTCAAGCTTAAACATGCCAGAAATACTACAGTATCGATTTAGATCTTTAGTTTCTGCGCATTTTTTCCAATTCATTCTGCTCATTTTCGATGTTAAAAGTTCCACCCTTCGGCATAAAAAGACCCAGCCGCCTTGTGCAAGCTCGTCTCGCGCGAGCGCTCAAAGAATTGAATCTTGCTGCTGATTTTCACCTCAAAAAAGAGACATCGGATCGTGATGTCTCCGATGGGGAAAAAACCATGGGAACCCATGAAAAAATGCATCATACAGTAATACATCTGGAATACCCCCAGCTCTATATGGGTTATCATATGGATTGTGTATATATATATATTATATTATATACTGGTTGGTGGTTTCAACCATGTTGAAAAAATGTTAGTCAATGGGAAGGATTATCCCATATACTACGGAAAATAAAAAATGTTTGAAACCACCAACCAGTATATCTGGTTGGTGGTTGACCTACCCCTCTGAAAAATATGCTCGTCAGTTGGGTTGACTATTCCCAATATATGGGAAAAAATGTTCAACACCACCAATCAGAAAACCATGGAACACCGGACAGACTTCGTCAGGAAAAAAAACATATCTTCGGCGTGCATCCCACTGATCCATGGTTTATCCATAGCCATATATGACGCATATAGCCTCTGGTAAACTGTGACATTTTGCGAACTGGAAAATCACCGTATTTTATAGCCGGGTAAATCAACGAAGTCAATGGCAATTTTCAATAGCGAAGTGTAAACGTTTACCAGAGGGTATCATCCATATTTCATCTCATTAATCTAAGTCGAGGTTATTCCATTAATCTATGTGCAGGATGGGCCCCCCCAGTGATAAGTTGGTTTATAAACCCCATAACTATAGTTATAAGTACCATAAACCATAGTTATTGGAGTTATAAACCAACTTAGCTATCTTGGGGGCCCCATCGTGTAGGGGTAGACGCCAAACATCCTCAGTCCCTCTCCATGTTTTTTTCACGCCTCCATGACAGGCACATCCAACGATGGCGTCGCAGCCTTTCTTTGATCGAGAGGGATGAGAGGGTCCCTGGTTTAAAGACCCTTGGGTGATGGTTGTTGGTTTACACATTTATTGACTACATAGTTACAATAGTTACTGTAGTTAGTTTATAAATCCATTAACTATATAGTTGCTATAATTAATTAGTCTCTATAAGACCCTGGTGTTGGTTTATAAATCCATTCACTATGAGTACTATAGTCATATATACCCTAGGAGTCAGTACGTTATGCACGTCAACTTAGCTATCGAAAACGAGGGCCTTACCTTGTAACGCACTTATCATTTAAACAAAACCCTGGAATGTCCCGCGCAATTATGATTGGTTCTGACTGGATTTTCCATATCTTTGGCTGTGGGGCGACCGCATTTTGGCAGTTTTGAAGAATCGTCCAGCTTTCGTGGCAAGAAAACGATGAGCAATTTTCAGCAAATGTGGCGTTTGAAAACCATTGCCTTTTGTCAAAAAAGATGGCATGTTGTGGAGGACATACATTGTGAGTCTCAATTCAGGGTCAAAAAAGACTGCTGTCCAGCTAGGAATCTGACACTTTGAATCTGGGCCAAAAAAAAAACATGGGCAATTCCTAAATTAGAAATCATTGAAAAATCATAGGAATCCACGATTTTTCTCCATGTTTGGCCTTTTATTCATATAAAAAGCATCAAGCCATGCCATGCCATGGCCAGGCCTCTCCCAACATTTGGGAGATCCAATAAAAGGGAGCAGCCAGGGAGGCCATTTCGGCCTGGTTTGGCGGTGAAAAACATCGGTGGGGATGTAGACAGTGGGGTGATATGAGAAAATGGGGTCCGGGTGGCACCAGATGACCGGGACATGGCTGATGCTTGACATATGGAATCGATTGGAATCGGTTCAAGACCTGATTTCTGAAAGGTCCGCAGGTCCGCACCGGAGAGGAGCTTTCTGCATCTGCACCAAAATCGTACTCCTAAATCATCTATTTTTTTTAAAAGGATTTTCCATGAAGTAAACCATCCAGCTATTTGGGGATCCACCATTTTAGGACAGCCCAACATATGGCTAAATTTGTAAAATGCTCAGAAAGCATCGGATTGCAGTTCCAACTTTTTGAGACAGTCGTCCAGTTTTTTGAAGCTCAGTCTGTGCCTCCACTTCGTATTGACATGCGTTCAGATCCAAAGAATTCAAGTCCTGTGGCCGCTGCAAGCTTGAGCTGCCAGGTAAATCATCTGCGATATATGGGGGTTTCCATAGTCATGGGGGTACTCCTTTATCGCTGGAAGGTCTATTTCAGGGAAAATCCCAATCTAAAATGGGTGATAACTGGGGTAATTACCCCTATGACTTAGGAAAGCTTCATGATGAAAGTCATACAGCATGATAACCATACTTACTGACCTTTAACCAGTACTTTTAACTGTACTTTACCCCAGAAAACTTACAACGGTTACAGTCATACTTTTAACTGTATCTAAAATGGATGACTGGGGGTAGCCTCCAGCCGCAGCGCCCGTCCTCGTTGACGCAATCCATATTGATGGAGACATACTCTAAGTTCACGGTCTGGCCACTCGAAAAATCATAGGATGAAACATATGAAAAGCATTGAAAAGCCTGAAACCAGTCGTGATTCCTTCTATATTAAAACAGATGACTATTTAGGTATGACTTGGTATGACTTAGTCAAGTCCTCTGAAACTTATACCTTTTGTCATACCTAAATAGTCATCAAATCGTGGGTCAACGACAAGATGTTTGGTCACGCCTCCATCTCACTGGTAGCCGCTTGCACAAATCCTCTTATAACAAGCGTGAGGATGATGGCTACAAACCTCAGGTGGCTATATCCCACCAAACTGGGAATCGGAGTTCGAACTCCCGGGTGATGATGCCAGATATAGCAAGAGAGTTGCGACGTATTATGGGAATATTATGGGAATATGGAGAAATAACTAGAAGGATAGTTGTGAGACAAATAGCGAGGAAAATACAAAGGAGTTGTGAAACTTCTGATAATGTATGAACCACACACTTTATTTTTCTGGATGGACGTGCCACAAACCCAATTAGTTGAAGTGATCCCCCACCAACTGAAATTCTATCTTGCATAAATTCCAACAGTCCATCTGACAATTGATCTGCAGAATCTGAAATTCTAACATATATTCATATTCTGACAATCATTCTGACATTTTATTTAACACATATTTCGAAATTCTTTCTGACATACATTTTGAGATTCTAGTTCGCATATATTTTGAGATTCTAGTTCACATATATATTTCCCAATACTCTGATCTTCTGACATATTCCTGGTTGGTGGTTTCAACCCCTCTGAAAAATATTAGTCAGATTGGATCATCATCCCAACTATTTGGAAAAATAAAAAATGTTCCAAACCACCAACCAGTAAGGTTTATGATATCATGATGTATCAATATATCCATGTCTGGATACTGTGGGTCAACTGATTTCCCCCCAAAGGGATCTAAGCGCTGCACAGCAAGGTTACGACGCCACCCAGGGTGGTTCGCGGAAGCTCATCACAGGGAGGATGCTGCCGAATGCAGTGAGACAGGGAATACCGTGGGATCTGTGGGATCTAGCCCCAAAAAAGATGGAAACCTTGGACAGCTGCATTTTTTTTAGAACACATCATCGAAAATCACAGCTTGGAAACAGCTTCCAACTCGTAAAGACCAGGACATCATGTGTCCAAAAAATGATGCCACTCTAATCAGGAGTTTCAATAGTTTCAATCATATAGGAAACTTACCATGAAACGCTGGCGATTCTATTCTCCCGACGAATCGTCGGGGATGAAACTGATGAAACCATCAAACAGAACGGTGAAAAACCCGTCTCATGCAAACAGACATTACCTGAGAATTTCATACGCCGTATACCAATGGAAAGGACAGGCTCTATAGAGATGCAGTTGACTTTGCAGACTTCATACAGTGAATCACAGCGCCTACGTCTTTGCGATTTTCGTCATCTTAAATCGCAGGAGGCGCCCAAAGATCCAAAAACACAGGGCTGGGCTGTACAAAAAACACCTGCAGGATGGTGCCACCCAGTTCTAAGTTGGTTAAACAAAAACCATCTAAATATACCTATAGGACTATAGCTATCATACACTATTGTTATAGTTGTAAACCAACTTAGCCAACTATGGGCCCCCCTGTGAAAATGGGAGGGTCAAAAAGGTAGCTCGAACCACCCCAGTTGACTCTCCGCAGTTTTGGCCTTCAGAGCACCGCCGAGGAAATCAAATCTTCTCGCGAACCTCTCCAAACCGCTGTCACGAAATGGGGGCACCTACTTGCGACAGTAGAACAGTTGCAAAAAAACCCGATTTAAGAATAACTCTGGAAAATCACCATTTTGAATAGGCAAATCATCAATTCTCATGGATCATTTTCCATGGCTATGTTAACATATCGGAGGGTAACAGAAGCTGCAAATGGCCAAAAAATCGATTAAAACCTGTCTTCGCCGTGCGATCTGCCTTGAAAGGCGAACTCCAACTTTCAATAGCATCTACGAACCATCATTCAGAATCAATTTCAATAATCCGCCAATCTGACAAAAGGCCATTTGGGGATGACTCCCACTAAGTATGTATATAAGTATATAATCATATGTATGACATTTTTGGAAATCAAATCTATCCAGATTTATCCCATTGATATTCCCATTGTACCACCAGTTCGTTGCACTATTCCAATTCTTCCATGATGATCTGAATCCCGATCTGGACACACACCTTGCCCTCTATTCAGCCGGACATACGTAAAGTTCCCGTGCTCATACAATGTGGTGCCCCAAAGATAGCCAAGTTGGTGACATAACTCTAACAACTAGCACTTATGGTGTATATATATATATGGTAAATATCTATAGTTAATGGGGTAATAAACCAACTTACAATTGGTGTGGTTACTACCCCATTGACTATAGTTATATTCCCCCATTCAACCCAACAGTTAACCAAGTTATGTGCGTCATCAACTTCGCTATTTCCGGGTACCCTCTGCTAATCAAACATGGCACTGGACAATTCCCGAGCTAAATGGAGGTTTGTAGCCTGGGAAAACTAGACGACGGTTGGCCCGAGAGCGAAAAAAAACGTTTTTCAAGCAGCTCTGAGTATGGTAGTCGTAAAAAATAGTCGGTGAATGGTTGGTGAATTTTATATGAGCTATGGAGGGATAATGTGTGAAAAGTAAGAGGATAATGTGTGAAAAGTAAGATTGATTAAGAAGAGGATACTTGTGACAACCCATGCATATGCATTGTGCTGCTTGGTAAAAGGCATCAGATGACACGTGTCTTGCAACCACAGAGAGACACAGATAGAGAGAAATGGATGGAGGGAGGGAGGGAGGGAGGGAGAGCGAGAGGGGGAGAGAGAGAGAGAGAGAGGGAGATACAAAGAAAACATGAAGAAATATAATGTAAGCAAGAAAAGTGCACAGGACGCTCGGTACCATGATGCTGGTAATTCCCACACACACATTGCCGAAAAAACTCGGTACCATCATGCCGTGGATGTCCAGAAACGAGACGCTTTTATACAGAGACGCTTTTACACACAGAAACTTTTACACACAGAAGCTGTGACACACAGACGCTTTTACACACAGACCATGTCACACACAGTCACTTTTACACACAGAAGCTTTTAAACACAGAAACTTTTACACACAGACCCTTTTACACACAGACGCTTTTACACACAGACACTTTGACACACAGAAGCTTTTACACACAGAAGCTTTTACACACAGACGCTTTTACACACAGACGCTTTTACACACAGACACTTTGACACACAGAAGCTTTTACACACAGAAGCTTTTACGCACGGAAGCTTTTACACACAGAGGCTTTTACACGCAGACTCCTTTACACACAGACGCTTTTACACACAGACACTTTTAGATACAGACCCTTTTACAAACAGACCCTTTTACACACAGAAGCTTTTACACACAGAAGCTTTTAAACACAGAAGCTTTTACACACAGAGGCTTTTACACGCAGACTCCTTTACACACAGACGCTTTTACACACAGACACTTTTAGATACAGACCCTTTTACAAACAGACCCTTTTACACACAGAAACTTTTACACACAGAAACTTTTACACACAGAAGCTTTTACACACAAACACTTTCACACACAGAGACCGGACCCGTGAAATCCGAAATTTACTTCAGTTTTTGACGTTCAACGTCCATTTCGTGCGAAAAGGTCACGATGAACAAAGTAAATCGCAATTTTTCCTCAGTTTTTGACGTCAAACCTCCATTGCGCGTGTAAGGGTTGCCCGTGACACCTCAAAATCGCAATTTTCCCCAGTTTTTGACGTCGAACCTCCATTGCGCGTGTAAGGGTTGCCCGTGACACCTCCAAATCGCAATTTTACCTCAGTTTTTTGACGTCCAACGTCCATTTCGTGCGAAAGGGTTGCGGCGGGACAAGTTAAATCGCAATTTTACCTCAGTTTTTGACGTCCAATGTCCATTTCGTGCGAAAGGGTTGCCGGGGACGCTTCAAAGTCGCAATTTTTCCTCAGTTTTTGACGTCCAACGTCCATTTCGTGCGAAAGGGTTGCGGCGGGACAAGTTAAATCGCAATTTTTCCTCAGTTTTTGACGTCTAACGTCCATTTCGTGCGAAAGAGTTGTGGCGGGACAAGTTAAATCGCAATTTTACCTCAGTTTTTGACGTCCAACGTCCATTTCGTGCGAAAGGGTTGCGGCGGGACAAGTTAAATCGCAATTTTACCTCAGTTTTTGACGTCCAACGCCCATTTCGTGCGAAAGGGTTGCCGGGGACGCTTCAAAGTCGCAATTTTTCCTCAGTTTTTGACGTCCAACGTCCATTTCGTGCGAAAAGGTTGCGCGCGACGCATCAAAGTCGCAATTTTTCCTCAGTTTTTGACGTCCAACGTCCATTTCGTGCGAAAGAGTTGCGTTTCGTGGCGCTCCGGCGGCACGCCTGTGCAGATGTGAAGGTGTGAAGATGTAGATCTGCAGATGTGAGGGTGTGAAGATGTAGATCTGCAGGTGTGAGGGTGTGAAGATGTAGATCTGCACGTGTGAGGGTGTGAAGATGCAGATCAGCAGATGTGAGGGTGTGAAGATCTAGATCTGCAGATGTAAGGGTGTGAAGATCTAGATCTGCAGATGTAAGGGTGTGAAGATGCAGATCTGCAGGTGTGAAGGTGTGAAGATGTATATCTGCAGATGTGAGGGTGTGAAGATGTAGATCAGCAGATGTGAAGGTGTGAAGATGTAGATCAGCAGATGTGAAGGTGTGAAGATGTAGATCAGCAGATGTGAGAGTGTGAAGATGTAGATCTGCAGATGTGAAGGTGTGAAGATGTAGATCTGCAGATGTGAAGGTGTGAAGATGTAGTATAACGGCTGCTTTTTTACGAAGAACCCTTCGCAGGCGCTCTCGGGAAAAAACACAAAACATCCTTATAGCTAACATCAATCAACTATAAATCCTTATAAATCCTTATAAATCCCATTCAATCTTTTAATGCTTCAAACAGAGATTTTCCCATGCTTTCCCCGCCTGCCAGACTTGAATTCGCCAACGCGAACTTTGTTTTCGTACTCGTTGAAGGGTTCGTACCTGTCATCATGGGATCATGGGACTCGTGGCGACGGTGAAGCCACAAATCCACAATAAGATTACAGGATGGGGCCCCCAAGATAGCTAAGTTGGTTTATAAACCATTGATTATCTATATATATATATATGGAATATAATTGTGATTAATGTGGTATCAATAAATGGTTACCATCAATACTTATCCCATACGGAATATAACTATGTTAATTATGATAATCATGATAGTTGTGGTTACTGAAAGTAGATACACATGGGGCCCCCCCGTTATAAGTTTGTTTATAAACCATGAATTAATCCCCATTAACTATAGGTATATCTACCATAAACCCTAGAATTCAACCACTTATAAACCAACTGAACGCTATCGACTGGGGGCCCCATCTTGTATGGTTATTAATATTAGAACTTCCATAACTAGGGTTTATAGGTGAAAAATATCGGATAATTATACACCAAATAGTAGGAATTAGGATAATTATACACCAAATAGTAGGATATGATCTTATCTGGTTGGTGGTTAAACAAAAACATCTTGAAACATGATGGAGTGACCGTCAATGGGAGGATGACATCCCATATATGAAATGGAGAGTAAAATTCATGTTTGAAACCGCCAACCAGGTATTAATAGATGGTGATTAATGGAATAATATATGGACTAATATATGGATTATTCAATATCAATGGTGATTAATATATGGAATTAATGAATTATATATGGAATATCAATGGGATAATTAACTATGATTAATGTGGTATCAATAAATGGTTACCATCAATACTTATCCCATACGGAATATAACTATGTTAATTATGATAATCATGATAGTTGTGGTTACTGAAAGTAGATACACATGGGGCCCCCCAGTTATAAGTTTGTTTATAAACCATGAATTAATCCCCATTAACTATAGGTATATCTACCATAAACCATAGAATTCAACCACTTATAAACCAACTGAACGCTATCGACTGGGGGCCCCACCTGAAGAAGTGCCTGATGGTTTGTTTGGCGTTCCTGAACGGCTCCCTCAGCGAAGCAGAGATCGAAAAAGAAGACACGGGTGGAACGACCAGTCGTGAACGACCCATTCGGAATCGCAAGTGGGTTAGCTCGCCCCAGATATTTCAGCAGGGTAGGATTGGTCTAGCTTTTTAACTGGGGTGAAGCGCCTTTTTCCGGAAAGCGGAGAAATCTATCATGTTCTAGCTTATTCAACAAGACCAAGCAGGTTGGAAACATAAAGTTTGAGGTGACAAGTCTTGACCCGATGCCAACTAGTTGGTGGTTTCAACCCCTCTGAAAAATATTAATCAGTTGGGATTATTATTCCGAATATATGGGTAAATAAAAATGTTCCAAACCACGAACCAGCCAATTATTTGACAGAAATCAAGCGATTGCTCCATTCCAGTTCAACCCAATAATGTCCTGTTGGTAGAAATAGAGGGGCCGGTTTGATATACCATCTATCATCAAAGAAACCTGTTGTTAAAGGGGTTTGTTCAAACCCTTCTATTTATCAACCAACCAATGGGAAAAGGACATCTATGGCTACAATTACTACATATTCCATATATATATATTCCATATATAATCCATATACTACATACATATATATATATAATGTGTTGACATACGATGTGTTCAACAGCGAATTAAGTCGTCTGTTCCATTGGACAGTCCTCCAGGGTCTCTGCTCCAAGCGGCTTCAGAAACAGTCGCCGCGACCGCGACTGCGGCCGCACATCCGTGGTCTGCAGGTGTTTTTTCGGCGCCAGTCAGGGTGGGGCTTGGGGAGGAAGGGTATGAAATGATATATCATAGTTATATATATTGACACAGGCCTAATAGCTGTAACAGCGAGCACGATCTAGAGCACGATTTTTGGCACGAGGGAAAGCACCAAAAAGCACGATTTGTGGCACGAAGGAATGCACCAAAAAGCACGATTTTGTGCACGAAGGGGAACACCAAAAAGCACGATCTAGAGCACGGTTTTTGGCACGAGGGAGAGCACCAAAAAGCACGATTTTTGGCACGAGGGAGAGCACCAAAAAGCACGATCTAGAGCACGATTTTTTGCACGAAGGAAAGCACCGAAAAGCACGATTTTGTGCACGAAAGAAAACACTCAAAACAACGTTCGCCCAAACTATAAAGAAATCCTTTTTTTGATTGTTACAGCATGTTACAGCTATTAGGACGGACTCAAGTTATATATTAGATAAATTATTACACCCAGTCGGGAAAGTCAGTGCACCGTCTGTTTGAAAAACAAATCACCATGGGACGCCGATCATTCAGGAAGTCAGAGAAGTCAGTGCAAACTTATGCAAATCAGCATGGGACGCTGTGTGCCAGAAATCATCTATTTCATTCAATATGCGGTGTTTTTTATGGCTCGGAAATTCAGAATCATATTGTGGACGCTGCATCTATGTGGTCATTGTTTTTAGTTATTTCGAATGATTTTAAAAACACAATGGAAAGCAAGTTTACAAACATACAGCCTAGGTGCCTGATACGGCTTAGGGCAATGACCCAACAGCAGCAGCAACTACCAGCAGCAACCGCAGCAGTAGCACTAAGACAAGACAAAACAAGACAAGGCAAGACAACTCACGTGTTTCTTATATTCTAGCGACACCCCGGCGATAGCAACAAAGCAAGTGAACGCATTGAGTTTCGAAATGGCGTGTAATGGGTTAAATATGAATGGAAGCAGTTATGCTATGAATAGATTTTATGTAGTTTATAGATATCTAATAATCGTTAAGGTTTATAAATGTCTATCATATTGGCCAAAAGTCAGCTTCAACTACTGGAGAAAAACAAACTGATGCCTTCTGCATCAGCGAGAAAATCGGCAGAGCTAGATCACTTGGCAATTCCTGCTTAGTTTCCTGACCCCTTGGGGGAGGAAAGAAAAGGAGCAATATGCCAAGGAAGCAAAACAGAAAAGAGTGTAGGCACAGAGCGTCCAGCAGGAGGCAAGGCGACAAATGACGGCACTGTGCCAAAAGTCAGGGGCCAAGCTCGGAAAATAACCTGTGGACCAGCAACTACACTAGAAAGCTCGAAAAAGGCCACAGCGTGCACTGAGCACAAAGAATGGCAAGTTCTTCTCGTTGCGCTTGTGTATCGAAGGGCAAATCCCAACACCATCACATGAAAATCTTTTGCCTCCAAAAGCTCAGCCACGTTGTTGGAAGGATAGTAGTAGATGTCACACCAATTCCCAGGTGGTGCAGCTAAATTGACAACAGGTGGTATACCCAGTGCAGCTATGTGACTAAATTCAATAATCCACAAAGCCCAGCGCAACAATGGTTCCAGATTGTTGTCCAGAACCGTCTGTTGCACAGCCATGTGCACTTCTACCAATTCAGCATCAAGTACAGGTACACCAGAAAAGTGTTCTGCTAGTGCCCGACCCCAAACTCGTGCTTCAGTACCCAACAGACTAACGAAAAATCCAGCCAGAGCAGCTGGCACTACAGGATTGTAAATCGTCTTCATTGGAACCAACTCATCTTTGTAGCTTACATGCCATCTACCAGCATTGCCACCAAAGTGAGGGGGAGCACGTAGTGGACTTTGAGCATCAAACGAAACCAGATGCATCTTGTTCGACATAGAAACCACATCATCAGTTTCTTCACCGGCGCTAAAGCTCAGTAGATCTTCCGGCAGTTTGGGTGCAAATGGACCAAGTGTCGTAGTCATTGCATATGAATGCCAAAATGGCGGGTGATACTCAGCAAAATGCCGATAGTGAGACTGAAAATGACAATCATAGTTTATATGCAGCTTCAAAAGGCTTGGATTGATGGGTGATATACATATATATATGGACTGGTTGGTGGTTTTAACCATGTTGAAAAAATGTTAGTCAATGGGAAGGATTATCCCATATACTACGGAAAATAAAAAGTGTTTGAAACCACCAACCAGTATATCTGGTTGGTGGTTTCAACCCCTCTGAAAAATATTAGTCCGTTGGGATGATTATTCCCAATATATGGAAAAATAAAAAATGTTCCAAACCACCAACCAGATATATATATATATAGTTTATAGATGTCTAGAATTAGAATTAAGCCACTTGCTACGGGGGTCTTTAGGTTCCCCATCACCATGGTGGATCTCAGGAATATATCGTTGCCGTTGTGAAGCATCTCCAGGCACACCATGGTTGTTACCCTCTGGTACATTAACATAGACCCTGAACATCACCAATTTTTAGAGGAAACTATCTTTTTTGAACCCCTATCTGGCAGGGTCGAACTGTTAATTTACTGGAGGGTAACCTATACTAAGTCATGTTCATCAGTGAATGATAACTGGGGCTACCCCCATGATGCATTGGAAACCCCTAAATAGCTGATATTTAGAGCTATTGATCCATAGCCATATCATGCCATATCGATGCTCTTCTGAACTACCCGAAAAGTAGGAGAGAACTAACCTGGCAGGCTCGAACATCAAAGTTTATAGGTTACTAAATATCCATTGATATTGCAAAACATACACATCTTTGAAACTACGAAGCAGTTAGCAATAGATGATGCTGGGTAAATTATAATATTTCACTATCCTACAAGGGCATGATTTCCCTGAAATAAGCCATGATTCCAGGGCTCGGTCGAACAGTGAGGTCGTGATGAAATTTACCCAGATGATGGTTTTCCCTGAATGGATTGTACACAACTCAGAGATTTTTTGATCCCGGATCTCCACACCCGGGTGGCTATGTCAACAGTTTGCGAACTTGAAGCCATGGCCCAGTCGAAATAGTTGATTTACCCAGCTATAAAATGGTAATTTTCCATAGTTATGTAGCAATTTACCAGAGGGTATATCTTCTATGGCGCTATGGAATATCCGTCGATGCCTGCTGAGGCGAAATTCCAGCAGGGAGCTCCGTCTTTCTCTTGCTTCTTCGGGTTACCCGTGAAACTTTGCTCGCTTTGCTGGTCCTGGCGTGGCGCAACATCAGATGGGGTGTGACTCCAGGTTCCAAAAAGGTTGGGAGCTTAGCTGAGAATACTTTGGGAGCACCTAAATTTTTAGTATTTGGTTAAGGGATTAAAGCATATTGAGTGACTTGATGGCACAAGGGTTTAGATAGGGTTGAGTTGCACGAGAAATTGGTTGAGCTCCAAGAAATACAAGAAACTTTCAACAAAGGGTGATCTCCAGAAAACTCTACTCCTCCCAAAAAAAAACACCCACCAAAAAAACAACCTAAGTTGGCATACTTTCTTCACCAGGGGTTTTCTGATCCCATGTTCAGATTAAATCCACCACAATCAACATCCCAAATTATATTGATCGGTTTGATCAGTTACAGTAAATATTCCATTAACTGTCCCATAGGATCCATGCATGCTCTATATAGGGTAACATTTACCATCAATATACCCCAAATGTTAGCATATATACCATACATGGATCCTATGGGTATATATATACAGCTTTGTCTGAAAATCGGGTACTCCCAACTTTCATGCTTTCTCATCATTTCACCTGGTTGAGAACACGATTCCCCGTCCGTGGATTGTCTGCATTTGGCATTGACAAAATCCCCAATTCGCGTTGGTTGTTGTACAACCCCCGAAGTACTCATCAACCAACCAACCAAAAAATCATTCATCAAATATGTTCAAAAATCATTTCAACCCCTCTGAAAAATGATGGAGTTCGTCAGTTGGGATTATCATTCCCAATATATGGAAAAATAATCCAAATGTTCCAAACCACCAACTAAACTAGTTCGATATATCTACCAGAAGTCCAAGAGTTCTTAAAGTTACACCAACTTAGCTACTAGAGATTACTAGGGTCTCATGCTCTTCTCCCTATGGAGGTTTCCATAAATGGGGGTACCCCCAGTCATCATCCATTTGATTCTTGGATTTTCCATTATAAATCATCCATTTTTGGAGTGCCCCCCCCTTTTAGGACTCCCCCATATGTTATGATATATTAAAGTTGTGATTTGCTAGTAGCTACACGTACTATGGATGGTTGATATGGGAAACCCGTTTCAAAAAGTAGATGATTTGGGGTATCCCTATGACTTACCCTCTGGTTATTTAACATAGCGATGGAAAATCTCCAAAATAAATGGAGGTTTCTAGCTGGGAAAATCATCTATTTCTATGGGCCATCTATACCACGGCTATGTTAAATAACCAGAGGGTAGGAAACCCCCATCATCGCATCATTCATTTTTGCTCCATATCTTTCCCCTTTTTGGAAATGATGCGATGCGGCGATGCTTCAATCCCACTCCTCCCCGCGTCTGGAAGCGTGCTGCTTGTTTCGTGGTCTTTTTCCGCCTGTACCTGGACAGGCTGTGGCAAGACACGAAGATCGTGGATCAAAAATGGGACCGGGATGATTGGGAACCATGAAAGATGGGAATTGAAGCAACTTTTCAGTGGGCTGTCACCAGCAACATGAGATTTTACCATGGAAAATTAGGAAATTGAGGATCACTTTTGTGGATGTAAGACTGATTCTTTCAGACCACACATTGGCATTTAACCTCCGAATGAACATGCATGGAATTTAAGAATCAAAAGCTGAAATGTACCCTCTGGTAAACATACACATAACTATGGAAAACAATTCTTAATGGGAAAACTCACTATTTCTATGGACGTTTTCAATAGCTATGTTAGTTTACCAAAGGGTAACTTGAACATTTGAGTGTCTTAGCATTTTTCATGAAACATGTGGACTAAACCACCAAACATTTCACCTGAAACATTTGGATTTTGGGTACGGCTATATCAGTCGATATGTCGCTATACGAAACCGCCCAAATTCATACGGAAACCGGAAAGCTATTACAGTATCCACTAGTCGATTGAGAGGAACCCAATTTTCAGACAAAACCATGTGGCCATATATATATATTATATAAATATATAATATATATATATATATATATTATATATATTATATATTATATATATTATATATTATATATATTATATTATATTATATATATATATTATATATATGTGTATGTATACAAGCCCAAACAATGATGGCTGGTTGTTGGTGAACAGACTGGGTATGATGTAGAATTCAAGGTTGCAATATGCACCAACCAGTAGAAAGGGGTCAAAACCCGATCAATACCATGATCTTGAAGCTCAACAATTCTGATAGGTATGGATGTTCATCCGGCCAAACATGGCGCAAACATGGTCCCAGTGGTAGTGACCCATCCACATGTTCCTTGAGCCTCAAAATATCAGAAATGCATGATCTCATGTTGTGAAAACTGGTGTGCATGGTTGGGGAAACAATTTTTTTTCTTCTTCTTTGGGTTCCAGATTCGTTGGGGAAACCTATTTATTTTTTCTTTTTGGTTCGAACACTTGACAGGGAAACTGCAACCCAATTAAAGATCTTTCATCAGGAAACATCGTTTAATGGGGGCCAGCCTTCCCGGTAGATATCAAAACCTGGTGAAGATTACCACCGAAAGGGGGCTCACCAACGGATGTACTTTTAGGACTCATAGAGGGGTCAGTTTGGTACCATTCATCTGGTGGTTGTTCGGTGGGTCATACCGAGTCATACCCCTATACATCTAGTGCTCAAGAACAAACGCATCACTAACTTTAAGAACGCAAGTGCCGCGGGATACTCTCAGTTGTTTTTGGCCTTGTTTTTCACAAACAAAAACTGCGGCCCATGAGTTTCTAACCAGTCGAAACCACCGTGAGTTGCTTCCACTTCGAGATTTCACCGCCAAAGATGGGATTTCCAGCTGATTCGTAGGATCTCCTCCATTTTAAGGACGACGAACATATCACAAAACCATACTAAACACCGATTTGAAATATATGAACATACCAATGCGTGGTTATTTAATATCAGAAAACCTAGATGAAATGCTTCAATCCGCCAAATGGTCCATCTTCTATGCGTTTCTCCAGGGTGTAAAACTTTAAATCCTCATCCCGAACGATGCCATAAAACAGCACAACATGGCCATAGTGGGTGGCCCAAATAGAAAAAACTGGTTGTATTTCCCACTCTCTCCTAAGTAAACCATAGTAAACCAACATGATGGTTCCATCCCCACATGTTCTTGTGCGACTTATGCATTGACAAAAATGCATCAATCCGATAGAAACATCCGAAATTGCACTCTGCCTTTCACGCCATGACTAATCCCTTCCCCTAGTATCAAAACCACCCAAATAGTAAAAACTAGGGCCCGTCTACAATTTTGGAAAATTTGAGGTTGGCCAATTTGACTTTTAATTGATCCCCTTTGAAACACAATTTAAAAATGAAACTACCATTTGTGGGTTTCACCCCCTATGAATAAAAACTAGTCAACCCCGGGGTGTTTTTTTATCAGTGTCCGTTTTTTAAGGTGTTAACAAAAAGAAAGGATTTTTTTAATTAATGTGTCTAATTTAATATTAGGGGAAAGTTTCGAACTCCAATTTGTTGCAATATTTTACTTAGAATCTAAAAAGGAAATCTAATCGATTTTGAAAAAATGTTTTTTATATTAGGGTTTTTAATTTAATATTAGGGGAAAACTTCAAACTCCAATGTGTGGCAGTATTTTAATTAGATTTTCAAAGCGAATCATAGGAAATCTAATCGATTTTGAAAAAGAAAAATGTAGTTTTTGATATTAGGGTTTTTAAAAATCAATTTTAGGGAAAGCTTCGAAACCCCATTTTTGGCAATATTTTAATTAGTTTTGAAAAGGAAGACTAATCGATTTTGAAATAGAAGATTTTAGTTTTTAGTAGGGTTTTTAATTTAAATATTTGGGGAAAGCATCGAAAACTCAATGTTGGGCAATATTTTAGTTAGATTAAAAAGGACATCTACTCTTAGTGCAGTCCCGACGCATGACGCAAAAACGCGCGTTCGGAACGCGCTTCCACGACGTAGAGCTACCCCATATGTCTACTTGCGCTTCTTTGGCCTCGAAAAAAGCAATTAGTATTTTATCGGTTCCCAAAGTCTATTTGCTATGCTTTCCCCGGACGACATGCAACAACCTTATATGTCTACTTGCATTTCCTTTGCCTTAAAAAAACAATTGGTAGTTTATGCGGTTAAGTTTCTATTTGCATTTCTTTCCCCGAAGAGAAAGCAGGTTGAATTTGCTGGCACATTGAATTTGGTGGCCATCTGTCTTACTGAGGAATCAGCAAGCATATTTCTCAGAGACTTAGGGCGCGGGCAGCTCAGGCAGCCCTGGAGTCCCATCAGAAGCCACATTGGGCAAATCTGAATCATCATCTTCGTCGTCGTCATGCGAGCTGCTCGAGGAGTCAGACGAAGACAAGTTCCCTTCGTCAGCAACTGGCTGTGGTGCAGCCAATGGCTCACCCCGCTTAGGAGGCGGGGGAATCACAAACTCTACCCGGCTTCTTTTCGCAACAGCAGGGGCTTTCGCCAAAGCTGGAAACAATTAAGAGAGCGTAGTTCGTAGAAATGTTTTCATAGCTGGCTCAAGCCTGGATCCTAGGCACACAGTGGCAGCCCCACAACAGGTGTTTAACTGGAAACATTGAAGAATAAACTCCTTGTCTGCTGGGTTGGAAATAGATACCAACAAGATCCCTTGAAAGAACATGTTTAGAAACAATCTACAGCCCCGGCACCCGAAGCAGACTCTACTTAGTCTTCTGGGGCCGATAAAGGCCACAGCAGTTTCTATAGTCATGCGACACTTGCAGCCGCGGCCACCGAAGTTTCAAGAGGCCAACTGCGACACAGCCGGAAAACTCACAGGTCCAACGCTTAACAGGTCTATCCCAAGTAGGGCAGCAGCCAGCATGACATTCATAAACTGAGACGCACCACTTGGTAGACACCCACCGGCACATGCTTGCAGCATGCTGCTGCGCAAATCGCCAAGCCCGGCGAAGCTTCCTGAAGTGAATATGCCATCGCACATCCGCTCTGCTATTGGGAGGCTCTCGCGACACAACAAACATCCTGCTCACAAGTGTATCTCAGCCAAAACGACTGCTCACGTTCCAGTGTGTGCAAACATGCTGAATCATGCTACTGTCCATGCGGAGTGCATAATTTAGGTGGTGCAGAAACGTCAAGATGGAGTTATCCTATTTGCTTTTTTTGCTCTACCAAAAAGCAGATTGATAATGGAAAAGGACTGCGTCACACGATGCACCGGCACCAAAATGCACGTCATGGAACGTACCGCCAAAACGCATGGAACGCACAGCAACAAGACACTAAACATCTAATCGATTTTGAAAAGGGAAAAATTAGTTTTTTACATTAGGGTTTTTAATTTAGTATTAGGGGGAAGCTTCGCACTCTAATAATAAATACCCCTCTGATAAAAAAAACTATACCTGAGGTGTTTATTATTTGCGGGGTGCTGAGTATTAGGGCGAACGGATTACATGCTTTGCAACCCTTGCTAAAACCATGCTCCTTGCAAAACTGAACAGGTGGATTGGACTTGCCGTCATACGGAATCAATGCATCACCATCCACAGAGTCCAAAACAGGTCCGGGCTCTTCTTGAGGCTCTTCTTGTCAGCAGAACAAAGTCGTGGGTCGACATGCAAGTGGTTTAGATTGGTAGTGGTTTTTTCAAGAGAGAAAAAAAAGCAGGAAATGAAAAAAATGAAAAGAAATGAAAATAAAAAAAGAAAAATGAAAATAAATGGAAATCAATGAACATAAATGAAAATAAAAAGGCACCAGGAAATGAAATAAACCATGAATGAAAACAAATAAGCACACAACGAATGATAAAGATATGTGCACATTGGAGGCCACCATATTCCAAACATGAACTGGGTAGCAGTGATTGAGTAGAAACCCCTACAAAAAAATGCAAAATCGTTCCAGACCGTTCAACATGAACCATTAATAAACATGTGAAAACGACATGAACCATAAACATGTGAAAAAATATCACTACAGATCACTACAGCATGATTTATGGGAACAATTTTCCAAACATGAATTGCATAGCGGTGATCGGGTACAAATTGCAAAACGGTGACATGTCTTTTTCTTATCTTTTTGTGTATTTTTTTTTCTTTTTTTTTTCTTTTTTTTTCTCTTGGGTTTCGCGCCAGTGGGATAACCTGCATTTGGTTTTCAATTGAGAAAATGTTTCTTGAGGCCATTTTTTTTCCTTTTTTTCCTTTTTTCTCTTTTTTTCTTTTTTTTGCTCTTTTTTGAAGAAAAAATGTAAAAATATGAAAAACTGTCTATTTTTCGAGAAAAAAGGGAAATCATATACGTGCTGCAAGGGTGTTCCTGGCGCGATGTGCTGCGGAAAACTCTACGATTCTTTGCGCTTTGGTGGCGTTTTGGATCCCAGAGTCTTGTGTGGTCAGTTGTGCGCTTTCATTTCAATTTCAGCGCTCACCCATGTCGTCTTCAGCCAATGGTCCTTTGGCCCGTACGGCCAAGCGTCATCGAGAAGTCGACCCAATGATGGCAGGAATGAATCCTTTCCTTGCGTCCATGTTTGGTCCGGCCTTTGCATTGCTTGTCCCTACCCGTGCTGAATCGTGCTGATTTTGTTTTGATGGATCGATGAGGTACGTTGCTGCACGTGACCAAAAACGACATTGGTTCCTGATGTGCCTTTTTTGTCAGTTGTTGTCAGACCGCGTGGCCAGCGTTGTCAAAACAAAATCGGTTTTGATAGGCTTCAGCCTGAACGAATTAAACAGGATGAAGTAAAATCATTTGAATTCTATCTTATATATCTATATATATTTATTTATTTCTTGTTATGTATATTCATTTCTTTTTATGTGTATTTATTTCTTTTTATGTATATTTATTTCTTTTTATTTCCTTTTATTTCTTTTTATTTCTATTTATTTAATTTTATTTCGGTTTATTGCTGTTTATTTCTTTTTATTTCTCTTTTCTGGCGAAAAAAAGAAAATATGATTTTAAATGTGTTTTTTTGATTTTCGGATCATCCAAACCATGTTGTAACTAACCTACTGCAAACTGCACCACCACTTAGTCTTGCGGATCTTGGGCAGCTTCTCCCGCTGCAATGCTACTCACAGGCAGTGGCTGGTCACCAATCTCTTCCAGAATTCCAGCCAACAAATCGGTTGTAAACCGAGTTGGAATGATGAGTTTAATAAACCTTGCAGTAAAAAACTTCTCATGAAAACCGCACAAATGTCCAAGCTGTCCATTCACGTTGCAGTGTAGATACATAGCTTCCACAAACTTGACTCTGATTGCAGTGAGCCCGGGGCCTCTGCCAGAGCACGTTGCCCGAATCTCGCAGATGCAGTCTTTCACATAATTACAGGATGGGGCCCCCAGTTATGTGAACGTTGGTTTATAAACCATGAATTAAATCCCCATGAAAACTAGTTCGTTATACCATAAACCATAAACCCAATTGAATTCAGCAACTTCTCAAACAGTTCTTCTCAGCCAGGCCTGCCGGAAGCTGATGGCCATTGCTGCAGGTCCCATTTTTCCCAATTTTTCGCAAAAACCCTGTCAGATATATAAACACATATTATAAACCCCATCATCTTTGAAGCTGAAATCCCCATCTCTCCCCATGTTGGGCTACATCCAATTTTTCATAATTTTTCAATCTTAAATTCACATCTCTCCCCATATTGCAGCGCTAAATCCAATTTATTTTCATAGTTCAATCCCCATCTCTTCCCATTTCTGTTGGCTGAACTCTGAAATTTACATCACTCATCTTCACTCCCAAATTTCATGTTTTTTTCTCCAGATTTTTCATGGCTGGAATCCCCCATCGAAGGGGCCGTCGGATCTGTCGTTGCCGGCGCACTTCCTGTGGTTCCCGTGGCGCAGCCGGCGCAGCTGAGGCTGCTGCAGCTCCTGCGCCCTCGCGCAAGGCCTGAAAAAACATAGGAAGTTTGGCAGCGAAAATGGGTTTCCAAGGGGTCGGTAAATAGCATTTTAGACACAGTCCAAGCACTGTAAAAGAATTCCTTGTATAAGAAAATGAGGGGCTGGATTTTTTTGCCGCATATATGTTGTGGAATGTATATGCAAATAGAAGTTAAGAAATTGAGGGACCCTGGAATTTTAAAGGCTAAGAAATCATAAGAAATCTATATAGATGTATGTGAAGGAGCCCCGTTGCGCCCCTGCTCAATTTTCTGAACCATGAAAGGGTTTATAAAGATTCTATTTGGAGCGGGAAATGGAGCCAGCCTCCCTTGCAACCAAATACCCGCCAAAACGAACTTTGTGCAACAATGGCATGGTTGGGGCTGACAATTAAGGGGGCAGGACCAACCCAGAGTCGAGCCACTACATAGTCACCAAGCTTGCTTGCAACAGCTTCAACTAGACACCAGCAATCCTCACTGTGGGTCATCTGTCCCCTTGGCTCGTGTTGCCTTTCCTTGCCTTGCCTTGCCTGTGCTGCCTTGTTGCCACCGGGTAAGGGTTCAACTCAATACATAACTGAGAAATCCAGCCCCTCAATTTCTTAATCACGTAAGGGTTTGTAAGAGCTTTCTGTAGAGGAGACTGGGTAACTGTTCCTTTGTGACCAGGAGCCACTGGGAAGCGGCGCAAGGATGGCGGAGTCAAACTCACGAAAGGAGCTGCGCAAAGGCAATCCCGCTCTTACATCTTCAAATCTGACTGCTTGTGAAATACTACATTAAGAAATTGCTAAGAAATTAAGGGACTTTTGACCGAATAATTGTACACATATACTGACATACATGGGGCCTTTCCGACAAGAAATTGAGGGACCCTGGCCATCGGCAACTAACATTCTTATATAACGCTCGCGCTGTACCCGTTAAATACTCATATTGATGTATATCCCCATGACAACGGATGGTATCGAATTATATATATATATATATTTCCATTTCTGATGGGTATCTCAAAAAAAATCCAAGTTCATGGTTGGTGATAAACCCCAATATATTGGATGCCTAACCCAATCTAATAATCAACTAACGGCGGTTTTGAGCACTGCTCATGTGGGATATAATGGGTATCTAATGGTATCTAGTAAATGGAGATAACTAACAATCTGTCACTGTAAAATGTGAATATAATGCGGATACACTTCTTAACAATTTGGCTATGGGTCAAAACTGTAGTACATTGGTAAGCATCAAAATAGCTGGTGGTTATTATGGATGGCAATCATTGAAATTATAATCCCATAAGTTTTGACCCATGCCCATCTTATGAATTTGACAGGCAAACAATGGGGTTTAAGATGGTTTAACAATCAAACAAATGGATTTCACTGGAAAATACCGGGATTTAACAACTTGGATTTGAACCTAATTGGAGCAGCATAGACCGCATTGGGAAAACCAAACAGCAACATTGGCGTTCTAGCCATGATTCTACCAACATTTGGGGCAAACAACCAACGGAGACGTACGGCGCCTGTGGAGGTGCGGCGCCTTCAGCTCTTTTCAAAAATATTATTGAACAGCATTTTTCATCAGGCAAGACGCCATGGTCCAACTTTGTTGTGTTTTTTGAAATGCTTGGCCAACTCCCATAGGGAGTATCCAGGGGCCAAGACTTCATGCAACCATTGCCATATTAGGCAGTGTCTCATCAGAGCAGCTGTTGTTCCTTGTACATTCAATTTCCTGAAAGATTACGTGGGATGTTACAACGTATCGTCAAGAGCGTCTTGGAAATGCAAGTAAAGAACGTTATAGCGCCCCCCCGAACCCTCCCCCGAAATCCACCAATTTTGCAACCAGGATTTGCGATCGAAATGAGGAGTTGGCGCTGTGACATGGAATGACGTCGTGTATAGGACGTAGGAAGTTGTCGATTCACCACACATTTCACCGCCACTATAGACATACCACCAAAAGCCCTAGTTGCATCAATGGGAATTTCAGGATCCTAAGATGGAGGTACTGTACCATATTGTGTGGGGATATTCCCTGAAATTTAGGCCCTGAAAACTAGGCCTTACATATGGTAGCTACCTCCAATCAATCGGTTCCTGAAATGGCCATTGACTCAATAGGTATCACCTTAGCCAAGCAGCTTCACTTGAACAGCCCAGAAGTACATCCCAACTTGTGGAGATCATCACCATGGTTATACTGACAAATAACCCGCTTATAGCAATTCATAACCATTAAGATCCATGTGTAAAACCTTATTATCCATTATTATCCACCATAGTTAAACCATAGTTATACCACTACTAACCCGTATTAACCATAGTTATACCATTACAAACCATGTTTAACCATACTTATACCATTATTTACCATAATTAAACCATAGTTATAGCATTACTACCCCTTATTAACCATAGTGATACCATTACTAACCCTTTTTAACAATACTTATACCTTTATTAACCATAGTTCTACCCATAAGGGAACAAAAACCAGCTGCATCCCCCCATCCCCATCGGTGCGCGCATCAGAATGAAGCTGTGTACCCTCTAGGGACGCAAGAAGCTCCTGTTTCGGGGCGCAACTAGGAACCCTAAAAAGTGGCTGAGTTCTATGGTTTATGGTAGATATAACGAACTAGTTCATGGGTATTATAATGGTTTATAAACCAACTAATTGAGTCAATGGCTACTTCAGGTCCCTAAATTGGAGGTACCTACCCTATGTAAGGCATATTTTTCACGGCTATGTAAGGGGATATACACCCAAAATATGGCTTTATATGGTACTAACGTACCTCCATCTTAGGATCCTTTTTTATTCCCATAACTAGGGCTTATGGTGGTATGTCTACAGTGGGGGTGAACACAGGAAGAGTGAAAGGAATACGATCTTATTGATCTATCTACCCCCTGGTAAATTAACATAGACCCTGCCAGATAGGATTTGGAAGATTAGTTTCCATTAAAATTTCTTGATTTTCAGGGTCTATGTTTATTTACCAGAGGGTAATTGATCTAATTGATCTAATTGATCTAACTGATCTAAATTCAAATTCTTTCTTGCCTGAAAACATCTATAATTTTACGACTCATTCAACATATTTGAAGATATGGAATCATTTTTCCCCACCTGCCAGGTGAGGGTTGTTAGATTTTATGTCAGTTGCCTGCTCCTCCTCTCCTCTTCTCCTCTCCTCCTCCTCGTCGTCCTCCTCGTCGTCCTCCTCGTCGTCCTCCTCGTCGTCCTCCTCGTCCAACTGCGACCCGCGATCCACAGTGTTCTCTGTCGGACCTCAACCACGACCATCCATGCTCAGTGTTCCCTGCCGGACCTCAACCACGACCATCACCGCCCAGTGTTCCCTGCCGGACCTCAACCGCGAGTATCCACGCCCAGTGTTCCCTGCCGGACCTCAACCGCGAGTATCCACGCCAAGTGTTCCCTGCCGGACCTCATGTAGGAAGATATGGGACAAAGAATGTGCAGAAGAAAGTTAGAAAGAATGTCAGAAAGAATGTCAGAAGATATGCCAGAAGATATGCCAGAAGATATGCCAGATAGAATGCCAGATAATATGCCAGAAGATATGCCAGATAGAATGCCAGATAGAATGCCAGAAGAATTGCCAGATAGAATGCCAGAAAATATGCCAGAAGATATGCCAGATAGATATGTCAGAAGATATGCCAGAAGATATGCCAGAAGATATGCCAGAAGATATGCCAGAATATATGCCAGAAGATATGTCAGATAGAATGCCAGAAGATATGTCAGAATATATGCCAGAAGATATGCCAGATAGAATGCCAGAAGATATGTCAGATAGAGTGCCAGAAGATATGCCAGATAGAATGCCAGAAGATTTGCCAGATAGAATGCCAGAAGATTTGCCAGAAGATATGCCAGATCATATGCCAGAAGATATGCCAGATAGAATGTCAAATAGAATGTCAGAAGATATGTCAGATAGAATGCCAGAAGATTTGCCAGTAAGAAAATGTATAAATGTCATGGTGGGGATCACACGAAGTAAAGTAATTTTTTAATTGGTTGCTCCCTTTAGCCCCTGCATGAACGTCCATGGGGATCATCCATGGAATCTAATGGAATCTACAACCTGCAATGGGACCTCCTTTACCAGCTTTACTATGGGAGTATGGTCCTGAGGAATGCCGCTGGACGCATCAGGTTGGTCAAGGCCAGGCTGGTCGGGCGTCCTGACGTTTTCACCAGGCGCGTTATCTAATGGGTATAAACACCATGTTTAGCCATTGAATACCCATAATGTGGTTAGAACAATAATAACCTACCAATTTTGGAATGGTAACCATACCACCCATTTATGGTGATTTAGGAGATGATTTATGGCATTGTTTTAACGACATTCTTTTGCATATCCCCATTCCAAGAGATGGTATCTAATTATATATTCCGTATTCCCGTTTCTGATGGGTATCTCCATCAGGATTTCCCACAAAAAATGACCCTGTTGGTTGATATATATCGGATTGTCAAGCCTATAGAATCAACCTACAGGGCTTTTGAGCACTGCAAAAATGTGGGGATATCATTATCTTGATGGTATACTAACAATCTCATTAAAATAGACATAACATGAGGTTATACCTATGAAAATTAACAAATTAACAATCTGTTTTTGTCAACACCCTTGTGCTCTGGTGAAAATCAAAATAACTGGCAGTTACGGATGTTCATCACCCTAAATTATGTATTTGTACAGGATGGGCCCCCCCAGTTATAAGTTGGTTTATAAACCATTATAATCCCCATTAACTACAATTATATTATCTACCATAAACCATAGTTAAACCACTTATAAACCAACTTAGCTATCTTGGGGCCCCCATCTTGTAGGCATTGATCCACTGCCATATGGGCCCAAAAACTGCTGTTGTAATTAGGGGAATTTTTCTGGGTAGCATACCGTCAGACAAACTCAGCCACGGGTTCGTCTCAGAGTGGGTTGCTACTCCGATTTGTGGCCATCAAATATACTGGGACGATGATTACCCTCTGGTTATGACTAACATAGCTATTGAAAATGGCTATTTATAGTGGATTTTCCCATTAAAAATTGTGGTTTTCCATAGTTTTTTGTATGTTTACCAGAGGGTAAAAACACCATGGGATGGAATGGGTTTCACATGTCGAGACTCAAATGAGGGAGCAGAAAAAAAAGCTCATGTGAGGCCAGCTAGTGAGTGGTTCCAGCCTATCCCAGGCAAAAAAAAATCTTGATGCAATTGAAACTCCGACACACATACATACACATACGACATCTAGAAACCCTCAATCCACTTGATTGCAGCTGGATTCTGCCCAAATCATAGGTGAGGTAACTCGCTATGCTTGTCGTCTAGTCATCCAACATCGATCATTCCCCACCACCCAGTGGTGTTGTTCTGGACGCTCTGAGAACTGGACGCTGGCGGTTTTGAAGGTTGTGACGGTGCGTCCTTGGCGATGAAAGCCCCAGTCCGATAGCTAAGTTACTATAGGTTCGTTTCCAAGTATCTATCTCTAGCATCGATATTATTTTTGGGCTTCTGAACCAACTTCTTAGACATCCTGCATAAAACTATTCTTAGGTTGTTGGCAAAATCATCTCTGTTTACGCTCTTGTAATTTCACGTAGCTGTGGAAAACCATCATTTTCAAACACGGTAAATCATCGAACTAAATTGGCCATCTCTTCGACCCCACCTGATCTATGGGGAGGGAAAAGCCACAAAAGCCTCACTTGCGCCCAAAGAAACGGCTCACTCTCCATTGACATAAGATGACATCATTCAGTACTCCAAGGTGACACCTTACTCTACAGCCATTTGGGGTTTACCAACGTAGGGGACTTGGCTTGGGGACCAACCGCGATGATCGAACAAAAAAACCCTTGGGAAAACCGCTTGGGATTTCTCAAGAGGATTTAACAACGATGGAAATCCATCAGGTTTTCCGATGTTTTTTCTATGGCTATGTCAATGTTTACTGGACACGCAAGGTGAGGTTTATGACGATCTCATCTCATGATGGATGTTTTGTCATGAGGACAATGATAGTCATGATGTAATATATATTATCATGATAGATGATCACTATATATATATATTTAGTCCGCAAACAAACTCATCTTTTGCTGGTGATTTCTATGAATATGTTCCATGTATTTCGCACAAACACCGGCTCCACCAGGCTTAGTTTTCACTACCTCGTCGCTTGGGGACGGCAAATTGCAACGATCCGAAGGATGGTGAATCCCAGATCAGCATTTTTTGTTGGTTAAATCCCATTGTTTTTCATGAATCAATCCAACATGGGATTTAACTGGTATTTATAATTGACAAATAAAACACGATTTTTTTCAGCTGGTGAATGTATAATCATGTTACCGGAAATTAAAAAGGGGCAATATTTGCAACTGATCCTTCCCGATAGAATCCTATCACTTTCTGTTTTAAAAGATCGCAGACTTGCCAGCAGGTTGGTTGATTGGGAAAGGTCGCCATGGTCGCCAGAACCCCATCGTTTTACTTTCCAATTTTCGGAAAACTTGTTTTGAAGTTTCAGCTTGATTTTACCTGGCCGACACTGCCAAACTTTAGGAACCAGTAATTTTGAAAATTTGAATTTCGGCACTGCAATCGGTGCTTTTGGAAAGCGGCAATTTTTCTTTTGCGTCGTGAAGGGATCATGTGGATTCAACCCGAAAGGTGACCCAAAAGTATACTGATAGATGGTGGCTCAATGTGAGGCCCCCCAGTGATGTGAACGTTGGTTAACAAAAGCCCCAGGAATACTATAGTTATAAGTACCATAAACCATAGTTATTGGAGTTATAAACCAACTGAACGCTATCTTGGGGGCCTCACATTGTAAGATTCATTCCTTGTTGGATACTCTGTCTTAGTTTGCCCTGAAAAGAAACCCTTGTTGGACCTTGTGAATATTGGGACCGGGGTTGGTTGATTTGCCATGATTTTTACCAGCATTGGGATGAAAAATGATGGGATTTTACTGCGATTTCAATGACACAATAATGGTGATTAACCATGGTTAGGGTGATTTCTTTGGGTATATCCATCCTAATAGCCCTCATCAGATGGGATTACATCACTACAACATCCGTTTCGGTGCCGAAGTTCGTCTTCCTCACGTTCTTGAGGCACATCTAGGGACACTCTTCGGCGTTCCTTGGAGACTGCCGAACTGACTGACGTCATCCGTCATGGCTAAGGATGCTGCAGAACAAAATTTAAGGGAATAATGTGGTTAAAATAATAGTAAATCACCTTATTTTTGATTGTTTATACCACCAGGTATGGTTTATTATTGCTTTAGCCACATTACTTTTTTTTGTGACTTTGCATAGACAAAACAATGTGTGTATTAGTCGTGTATGTGAAAAACAACTACGCGTACAGGTCATCAAATACAAAACACCTTTGCTGTAGGCTACATAATCTGACTGCATGTACATTTCCCAGAGCCCTCTTTAGCAATCTCTACCCTCTGGTAAACTAACACAACTATGGAAAATCACCATTTTTAATGGGTAAACCCACTAAGAATGGCCATTTTCAATAGCTATGGCTATGTTAGTTTACCAGAGGGTAGTTCATAGTGGTGTCAAACTCTCACGTGCGGTTGGGACATGCATCCGTCCTATCATCAGAAACATGTTTCCAACAAGATTTCCAACAAGATTTGCCGGAAAAGATGTTTGGAAACTCTTACCCTCTGGTAAACTAACATAACTATGGAACATATTGGAAAATCACAATTTTTAATGGGTAAATCAACTATAAATTGGCAATTTTCAATAGCTATGTTAAATTACCAGAGGGTAATACGCTTGGTTGGTGCTTTCATCCTTCACAAATATGACATCAGATTGATGATCAAAGGACAACACAAAAACATTCTCCGAAACTTTAATTATTTTCATCTAATTTCATTGGATCTATCCTCTTTTTTGATGATCGTATCCAATTGTGTGCGGTTCAAATATCCATTGTTGTTTCTGCTCAAATATCTTGTTGGTGCTTTTAACCATCTTGAAAAATATGAAAGTCAATGGGAAGGATGACATCCCATATATTATGGGAAAAGACCTGTTCCAAACCACCAATCAGATATTGTTGGCCATATTTTGTGGGGATATTCCCTGAAATTCAGGCCCTGAACAATAGGCCTTATATATGGTAGTAGGTACCTCCAATCAATCGGTTCCTGAAATGGCCATTGATATGTTAATCAATTGGTTTGCTGATGAAATCTTCAGCTTGTGAAATCCTCATCTTTGCCAGTGAAATCCTCATTTTTTGGGGCTGATCAAAACAGTGCTGTGGTCAAAACATGGTTACCATGTGGTATGGTCATCCTCAGTGGAAATCCTGAGAAAAAAATCATCATTTTTATGACTTGATCATCATCCCCCATGGCATTTTTTTACCCATGTCCTGATTCTCAAACATCTGGCGGATTACTTTTTTTACCAATGTGAACACAGCTATCATACAGCCGTTGGGATGATTTCTCAACAAAACCGAATCATTTCCGGGACGTCACGACGTGAGGTCAGCAAATACCCTCTGGTTATGTCAAAATAGCTATTGCAAATAGCCCATTTATAGTGGATTTATCCATTGAAAATGGTGATTTCCATAGTTATGTTAGTTTACCAGAGGGTAATTCAGCCAGAAGAATTCCATCCCCCTTTTTTTACATCCCATATCGTATGCTTCCAAATACGTGTAAATCTCTTATTAAACGAATGTTTTTCAATAATGAATTCATCCGGATTATTATCCCCATCATATCCCCAGAATATCCCAATATATACCAACATGTTTGCTGGTTCAGTCACCAATTTTAATGCTTGAATCACCATTATAAATTATAATTCATAATATAATAATATACCATTCTATTCCCATTCATATTCCATAACGTTACATGATATCCAGTTACAATGGTTATTATCTAATCTTCATACAGTTTTATTACCACTATACCCATGAGAACTATCTAATCTGGTTGGTGTTATACCTACCCCTCTGAAAAATATATTAGTCAGTTGGGATGATGACATTCCCAACTGAATGGAACGTCATCAAATTATATAAAATTCCATGGTTCCAAACCACCAACCAGCCATGAGAACGATCTAATCTACTAGTAAAAGTCATATATATATATATACCATCATAGCCCTGCATTTTCTGGACAACCCCCTCTATATTGGTGCTTATAGCTGCATCATAAGGTCCCGCCGCTGCAGCGGCCCCCCCTGGTATTTTCCGGGCCTTGGCGGCGACGTCGATAGAAACTACGTTCGATTCAGCATCTGGCTGGTCGAGGTCGGGCATACCTGCGCTTCGTAGCGCATTCGTTGCGCCAAAACCACAGCGAAAAACACTTCAATTTTCATGGAATTTAGTGGAGATCTAATGAAACAACGGGACATCATGGAGATATAAGGAATTTTAAGGAATTTTAAGTTACTTTAAGGAATTTTCAGGATTTTCAAGGAATTTAAAGGAATTTTAAGGATTCAATGGGGATCTAATGAACAACGGGACATGGAGATATAAGTAATAGGTATTATTAATTGGGATATCCCTTTTTGCACTAGTGGGCACCAGCAGAGTGCACCAAAATAGCACCAAGAAATATGGCAAAACTTGCCTTGGCGCCAAATGAACATGCCCAAGACTGAAGGTACTGACAAGTTTCCACTCTACATCGTTGAGTTGCCTTACACACATACACAAAGGAACAAAGAAGGTTGTTGAAAGGTTGTGCTGTGGCACAACTATAAGAAGATACACTACAAGATAATGTAAGATACTAGGTTTGCCTTGGTGCCTGCCGGGGCTGGGCAGGGGGGCAGGGGCCTGGCCCAGACCTAGAGAACTAAAGTTGTAGCTAACTAGGGTTGTGCTCCAAAAAAACTGTTCCAAACCGACATAATATAATATCTATATGTATATATAAGAGCAATATAATTGGGATAAAACCGAGCAATGTTCAAAACCCTTGTTGGTTGATGATTGTAGGGTGTACTACCCAATAGACTGGGGATGATCACAATCCATTGTGTGAAATCCGTTCTTAACCAACCAGTATATGGGGACAATACAGGCTTTTGAACACTTCACTTGCATACCAGTCTTGTGACCCATCCTTAAAGTATAAGTCAATAGGGACCATTAAAGTAATCCCATCCCCCTCAGACAAGATATGTGTGAGTAGGCATCTATACTATGTATATGTATATATATATATATACATACAGGTATCCTTACATGATGATAATATAATGTTGTCAAACAGTGAAGTTACTGTATGCCGCACATGAATATGTATATGAATACACATATATATATATATATGAATATATCACCCCACAAAACAACAACAACTTCTAAGGTGTTCATTCGATAGTTTTGAAGCCTAAAGGTTTACGCACTAGACAAGTTGAGATTGATTAATTGACCAGTTCAGCGTTGACATATATTAGATTGATAGACTGACAAGTTGAGGGTTGACGCAAGAGAGGTAATTTATGGATATTTATGGTAAGTTGCTAACTAACATCTATTTTCAGAGGTTTTATTATAATAACAAAATGACTGAAATCCAACAACCCGAACTTTTGCCTGGGGTTGAAATCCAACTTACCAGCAAGTTCCCAGTCTTTCAAGTCCGCCTCACGTGCACGCGGCACAAAGGACCCCGGGACGACACAGCATCAGCTTGAGCGCAGCAGTATTCAAAAGCCATTGTCGTCCCTCAAGAATTGGTGGGTTAAAAGGAATTTTCAGAATGGATGGTGATCCTCCGCAATATATTGGATACCCTCTGGTAAACATGCACATAACTATGGAAAGATCCACCATTTTTTATGGGAACACTCACTATTTCTATGGCCATTTTCAATATATAGCTATGTTAAATTACCAGAGGATAATTAGTATACCCCCATATAACCATCACTCAAGGGCTGTAGCAGCCACTGCTCATATGGAAACTTTTGTCAACATGTGAATTTCATCCTGGTTGGTGACGCCTTTCTCGAATTCGAGGGATGAAGGAGACATGTCTGCACAAAGGACCAAGAGTAAAGAATTTGTCTTTAACCTATCATATAATTAACCCACATAATATATGTATATATATATATAATCAACCTATATATATAATATATAAATAACCAATATGTAATCCATACATAACTAATAAAGAACATGGTTACCCAGCTTCGATGCTGGGAGACTCCCCATGTCGCATTGGTATTTTGCGGTGGCTAACGCCTTCCATAGGTGTTCCAAGGTGTTGTTGGTTCAGTCCCCATTTTTGCTCGTCCCTGATTAGAAGAAAAGTAGAAATCAAATGATATGCCCAAAATGATACGCATTCAGAGTGTGCTTTCATATGATTTTCTTGTCTGAATATAGGGTAATTACCCGTCAGTAAACTACAGTAACATATATGTGGACAATGGCCCATTTATAGATGAGGGGTTTCTTAAGAATGGTGATTTTCTATAGCTATGTGAGTTTGCTGCAGGGTACCTCCCCAAATTTCATGGTTTATCATCAGGTTCCGTGATTTAGGAACCATGTGACTACTTAAGTCCAATACTGGTTGGTGGTATACCTACCCCTCTGAAAAATATGAAAGTCAGTTGGGATGATTATTCCCAATATATGGAAAATAAAATTCATGTTCCAAACCACCAACCAGAATTTGATTGCTTACATCCCACTTATGTCGCCATAAAATCCCATGACATTTCAGCAGATCACCATGTCATATTCCCATTACATCGATATTATGTTGTGTCATATCATACACTATATTATGCCATATTAGATTGTATTACAATATATTACATTATATTCGATTGTATTACATTATATCAAATTATATACTGTATATTACATTATACATCTGTAATAATCGTACTTTTCTAGTGAATATATCCAACTTATTTCCCCAATGGTGTACCCAGTCCATCGGCAATTCTTTTCTCACGCAGGGCCACGGACCTTTGCCGGAGGGATGAAGTAGGAGCCAGTGGTGAAGGCTGAACATTGGTGGGTAAAACCAAAGAAAACTTGGGTTTTTATTCGAATTTAATGAGATTTAATGGGATTTAATGAGATGTATTGGGACTTATGAGATTTAATAGGCTTTAATGGGATTTAATTCGATTTAGTAGGATCTATTGGTATTTAATGAGATTTAATGGGGATTTAGTGAGATTGTTTGAGATTTGATGGGATTCAATGAGATGTAATGAGATTTATTGGGATTGAATGACATATTGGAGTTTAAGGGAATTTCTTGGGATTTACATGCATTTATATTTGATTTTTGTTAGCTCAATTCATTGATACCTCTTGGTTGTATGGTAGATATATCGAACTAGTTCATGGGGTAACCTAAACCAAACTTAAAACTGGGGGGGGCACATGGTTCTTCACCATTAGGGGTTTGTGGTTTCAACGGAGTGCTTTGTTAGGAAAAAACTGGTAACCGGAAACCATAGGCTTTTGCCAGAATATACAGAAATTTGTACATGGGTAATAACAGGGCGGTTTTCTGGTGATTTTTTCCATAAACCATTGTCTATCGTCATTGTAATGTTATTGCCGTGTATCTGTGAATGTTTCATGAACTTTTGCCGTCGTTCTGGAAATTCAAGAGTAATGAAATCACAAACAACTGGCCTAGCTGATCGGTTTCAAAGATCGGTCTTCATCCCACACATGAGATGATTGATGGGATGTGTTGGAAGCAACCGCCAACCAGATCTGACGCTATCACCACGAATTACCATGACATTCTCAACGTTTAGTTTGTAGTTCTGATGTGGAAAAGCATTGCTTCCTGCAATTTTTCGTTTAGTGAAGCCAGTCCGTTCAAACCTCATCAAATTGCTGCTTTCCCCATTAGAATCCGACATTTCCATGGTACCACTTAGCATCACCATGACTTCCAGCCCCGATCGGAGAGCAAAACCCAGCCAGCTCTCTTAGCTCCACTTCATAGCCTCTGGTAAACTAACATAGCTATGGAAAATCCACCCATTTTTAATGGGTAAATATCCACTATAAGGGGCCATGTTCAATAGCAAACTGTTGACATAACCAGAGGGTAATTTCAAATGAAGAGATTGAAGATATAGCAACACCCAAAAAGACTGGTGCTAAACGTAGGGACTGAGGGAATGATCCACTGGCTAACTATCAATAATAATCCCAGCAACCCCCATTCCCATCCATTCCCTACTAAGAACCAGTAAGAAGATTGGAGTTAATAAAATAGTACTAGAAAAATAAATTGTTGGTAAAATAGTTGTCTATCGTCTTGGGGGTGTTACATATTAAACAGGGGTTTCGTTTGGGGGTAGTATCTTAATATGAATGCGGGAAGGGATTATAATGTCACAATGGTGAATCAGATTGAACAATCACCATTTTAAAGTGATGTTACTATCAACTTCACCATTGTCAATAGGATAATCATCTATAAACTGGCGGTTTTCACCATAGCTAACAATGATGATTTACCATCAACTTATGTAATATTGACATGGGCCTTTGGTCATTCTGAGATCAGCAACATTAAGGCCCAAAACCCTCTGTTTTTCCATACCGTGGGTCTGGTTCCCATACTGGAGTAGACTGTACGCCAAACAAAACCAGTGAGTATAACCCATAACCATCTTTTACAATCAATCATCAACGAAACAACAAGTCTGGATCACACCTTTTTGGTGATCAAACCCACATTTTCGGTGGTTGAATCACCACAATCCTCCAGTGCTTGCAGCTTTCGAAAGGTGGGTTTTTCTCAGTCTCCGGGCACTGCAAGAAGAGCGCGGCGGTGGTGGCAGCAGCGGAGGAACGTTGCTGCTTGTTGTCCCGGCGTAGCCTTACTGTCCGGGGCATCCAAGACCCATGGGTGCTGCAAGCGAGTTATAAATCCCATTACCCTCTGGTAATTTAACATAGCTATGGAAAATCACCATTTTTAATAGGTAAATCAACCAAAAAATTGTCATTTTCCATAGCTATGTTAAATCAACAGTGTGTAACTATATTTGCTTAAACCATAAACCGTAGGCAGATGCATATATATATATGTAATATGTGTCATGCCATCTGTGTAAATAAATGGAAATATTGATGATATGTAGAAATATCATTTGATGTAAGATGTATATACACATAATGATTACATAAATACATCTTTGCATACATCATTAATCTGGGTAAATTATAATAGTACGGCCAGGAGCTCTGTGTTGCCCGGAGATTTAAAGGGACGTTCCCGGCAGTTTTATGAAGATATCTGACATGTTATTACCCATTTCAATATGTATATATAGTTCAAGAGGGTGGCAGATTTTAATCCCTCATGATGATATGAAGATATCTGACATGTTATTTCCCATTTCAATATATAGTTCAAGGGGGTGGCAGATTTTAATCCCTCATGATGATATGAAGATATCTGACATGTTATTACCCATTTCAATATATATATAGTTCAAGAGGGTGGCAGATTTTAATCCCTCATGATGATATGAAGATATCTGACATGTTATTACCCATTTCAATATATATAGTTCAAGAGGGTGGCAGATTTTAATCCCTCATGACTCATGATGATATGAAGATATCTGACATGTTATTTCCCATTTCGATATAGAGTCCAGGGGGGTGGCAGATTTTAATCCCTCATGATGATATGAAGATATCTGACATGTTATTTCCCATTTCAATATATAGTTCAAGGGGGTGGCAGATTTTAATCCCTCATGATGATATGAAGATATCTGACATGTTATTACCCATTTCAATATATATATATAGTTCAAGAGGGTGGCAGATTTTAATCCCTCATGATGATATGAAGATATCTGACATGTTATTTCCCATTTCAATATAGAGTTCAAGGGGGTGGCGGATTTTAATCCCTCATGATGACATGAAGAGCAAGTTTCATGTTATTCCTAATTTTAATAAATAGTTCAGAGGGGGTGGCAGATTTTCATCCCTCAGGATATCTTAAGATGTTCTGATCTATTTCTTGATTGCCGCACCCAGCCTATACTGGGTTCGCAAGTTGTACTGGGCACTGGCTGCTTGCCAAGCGATGCGATCGCGGTCATCGTCATCATCATCATCATCATCATCATCCAACATCATCTAACATCATCTAACATCATAGTTGTGCGTCTGGGCAACACACGGTGCCTGTGGGTAATATTTCACTAACCTGAATTAAGGCCATTTGGGGATGATTTCCCTGAAATAAACCATGATTCCAGGGCTCGGTCGCAGTGAGGTCGTTATAATTTACCCAGATTAATCACCATTTTTCCACAGGGAGATCCTCTGCACCTCACCTCTGCTGGGTGGCTTTGTCTCCAGCAAATCATCAAGCAAACCTTCGCTTGTGTGGCGCGTGCGTTTTCGTTAACTGACAACACTTGGAACGCCACCGGCAGTAACATGATAGTCATCGTGAAAACAATTCAAAATCGGGGAATTAATTTGCTTCATATGAAGTTAACCTATGAATAAGGGTTGGCTGATGGCAAAATATGGGACTCACTGATTTCATGGTGCTTGGGAACTAATCCTGTGTATATACATAAATATGTATATCAACCAATATCAAGCAACCAGTTAAAGAGGATGGATAACACATTACGAAACACCTATGCACTCTCACGGTGACGTGGATATGAAGCTGGCCAAAAAAATGAAAGGCATATCTGCAGGAAAAACCCAGACTCATGGATAAAAAACCATGAGTTTGCTGTACCCTCTGGTTATATAACAGTTTGCCATGGTATAGATGGCCCATAGAAATAGACGATTTTCCCAGCTAGAAACCTCCATTTATTTTGGGGATTTTCCATGGCTATGTTAAATAACCAGATGGTAAACATTCCCTTCAACCAACCCTTCATGAAGCCGGAAATCGGGTGTTTTCAGAAAAACCCATGGCTTTTTTTCGCCAGGAACTGCCCCAAAACGCGCCCTGACCTGCAGATGTTTCCCTGTGATCCTAGGTGGGTATACGCCTAGCAACGGGATGATTTACTGGTTGGTGGTTTCAACCTACCCCTCTGAAAAATCATGGAGTTCGTCAGTTGGGATGATGACATTCCCAGTACATGGGAAAATAAACCACGTTCCAAACCACCAACCAGTTTATTATTGGGCTTACCACGTTCAATGGAAGCCATGACCCATTTACAGATGCTTTACTTACATCTTTACCTACTAAAGATGGTGATGTGAAATTACCAACCAAAGGGTAGACAGCGCGCTTCAATAAGCGGAGAGCCCCAACATGAATTCACGAGGCAAAAAAACAAGAGCTATTGGGGTTGCAGTCAATGTTCTCACTGTGGACCCTCTACCTAAATCGTGGAGCAGTTCCACTTAATTGAGGTGTTACTAAGATTGCCATAATCATAATTCTCACAGGGCCCCATATCCCACCTTATGAGGGCTATAACACCTTGATTAATCTAAAATACTCGCAACTACAGCCCGAAGCTACTCCTATGTAGAACGGACACCTTGAATTCAGCCTAGTCACAGCAGGCAACAAAAATATTGTCGCAACAAGCAACATGTAACTAGAGTAATCATGGTCAATCTTTGGTAGTCCACAATAAAATAATCTGTTGATATCTTTTGCTGTTTGTGGTTATTCTCCATTTATAGCACAAGACTAAGGGATTAGTTTCTACCTCTCCAGTCGGTTGGGGATGTAATGTGGTATACAGTATCCGATCATAACTTCCCAATGTTTGGCTAAGTCCCATCCATTTCTAACCATTTCTATCCATTTCTGCTGATATTGCGGATGCTTTATGGAATTCTTTCAGGTCAATGCCCATGAAAACTAGTTCTCTATATCAACCATCAACCAACAGACCTAACTTGGGAGTCAATCGTTCACTATTTCAATGTACCTAGCCCCATTTTTTCCATACTCTACATCTAGAAAATTGACTTGAAATGATTGTATATCATTGTATATCATTAATACCCTCTGGTAATTTAACATAGCTATTGAAAATGGCCATTTATAGTGAGTTTTCCCATTAAAAATGGTGATTTTCCATAGCTATGTTAGTTTACCAGAGGGTAACATTTAATAACCATCATCCGAACCGTTTCTTGGAGCATCACCTTGGAACAAAAAATGGACCCGTTCGGGATGTTTGGCGTTGGCCCAACGTTGGGTTCCAAGTCAATAAATATATCCAGAGGTAAAATCACAATAAATCCAAAACATGTGGATAAATATAAGTTGATAACATATCTTCATCTATTGGATCAATGATTTATATCCAGTGGATAAAATCCTAAATGTTACCGGCCATGAACATCATGGAATTCAAGAAACTGATCAATTTACCTCTGGATAACCCAAACATATTGGATGGATGATATTAGTACCCTATTAGCATATTTTTTAGCTGGTTACTGGATGAAATTTTAATCTCTAAATCCAGCAAATTCTAGACCATCATTTTGAATGATCATTATTACCACATCCAGCAAATCCAGTATTTATTTATTATTACCAAACTTATCATAGTTATCATAAATATAATACCAGATCCAGCAAATCCAATCATTTCATATCATTTCAAAAACAAGTTTATGAGCAAATTTTTCAGAAACTGATCATTTGGGTATAGGTCAATACCTATAGATACATTTTTAGTGGGATGAACATCCATTTACCAGCTATTTTGGGGTTCACTAGGTACCAGGGTTTTGACCCATCCCCATTTATTCACCTTTCAAGATTTTGACCAAACGGACCAATCCCAACGTTTTTTCCGGCACCGTAAAGAAGCACCTGGTGCAGTGGAATGCGTGGCATCTTCCTTCATCCCCTGCAGGAAACAAATTGGGGAAACTCCAAAAAACATGTTGCAGGGTGGGGCCCCCGGATGTGATGTGAACGTTGGTTGAGAAAAACCATGGGAAAACCATGGGAAAATGGTGAAAATTTTTAATGGGAAAATATGAACCATAGTTGGTTTATAAACCATGAATTAATCCCCATGGAAACTCGTTCGTTATAAGTTATATCTACCATAAACCATAGAATTCAACCACAAAAATAAACCAACTGAACGCGAGCTCGACTGGGGGCCCCATCTTGTGGGAAAAGTCTAAAACAACATGGTTCATCATGGTTAGTATCATCATAACATTTCATGGTTTTAATCTGGTGAACATAAAGTGGGGAAAGTCAACAAAAAACATGGTTCATTATCTGGTTGGTGGTTTCAACCTACCCCTCTGAAAAATGATGGAGTGAAAGTCAGTTGGGATGATGACATTCCCAACTGAATGGACAGTCATAAAATTCCATGGTTCCAAACCACCAATCCATTAAAATCAATTAAATCCATTAAAATCCATTATTATCCATTAAACCACTATAATCCATTATAATCCATTATTCCATGGTTCCAAACCACCAACCAGTTTGAGTTGCATGGGTCATTAAATGTCCCCATTGAACATCACCCAACCATTAGGTATATGGTCTATAATGGCTACTATAAGGTGATGTCCAGTATACCCAAAATGGGACAGTTACCAACCAGTTTGAGTTGCATTAAACTATCCCCATCCAATCGATGTACTCAGCCCCGTTCCCGGCAGTCACCTTGCAACTGATTCGCACATGCTTTTGGATGTCGCTCGCATGGCTGCTGCTAAAGGCAATCACCTACCGCTGTCAGGACAACGGAATTGCCCCGAGCAATGCCAATTTGGCTGAAAAAAACTGGAGATCCGGCAGAAAATCCAACAACATGTCAAGATATGGCTGGTAACTGGTCCTTTTGGCAGCATCTCGGAGAGGAAGTACCTATTGACCATCTAACAGAATACCATTATGTATATATATATATGTGGAGGGGACCTTTATGTATAGAATGACGGGGTTCTGAAACCACAATACTGGCACCTGCAGCTCACTTTTTTGGGAAACAAATGTTCTCACAAATGAACATGGGTCAAATTTTAAGACTTGAGGGATCACAGGTTTTTAGTTATTGTCAGGTGAAGGTCTCTAGACTTCTCCACAGCTTCTTGCCCTCCCCCCTCTCCACCTACAAAGGAGAAAGACGTAGAAAGGGGGTGAAGCAGGTGGAAAGTTGTGGGTGGAAGGGTAGGTGGAAGGGGTGGATACGGTTGGAGAGGTTGGGTGAAGATGATGCTAGGGTGATGCGAGGGTGGAGCGAGGTTGGAGCGATGGTGGAATGAAGGGTGGGGTGTGGAGAAGGTGATCAAAAATTGATACCAAGTACAAGGATACATCTACTGTATTTATTCACATCCTTTGCGCGATCCACTCCTTGGGATTCTCTTCTTCCCTTTTCACTTTCCAGCGGCTTTTTCTCTTCTCTCCCCCTCTCCACCCTTCTACATGTCCATCTCCGCTCAATACCCTCATTCCTCTTTCCGAAAAGAATCTTAGGGGCAGAAAGTGTGGAGAGTAGTGAGCAGGGATGGAAAGCGGAGAGAATTAAATGAAGTTGGGGTGATGGGCGGGGTCACGATGAAGAGTTGGGCGGTGGGCGTAGCGAAAGGCAGATGGATGGAGAAAAAGAACATGTACATCAAATAGATGCAAGCAATTCATCCTGACTGCTTTCTTATCTAGCCGTTTCTTTCTTCAAAACTACTTTAAAGTTCAATTGTGATTGCCTTTTCCAGCTCCATCTTATATTTGCTTGCAAAGATCAAAATTAAAATGTATGTCTACTTTCTTTTTTGGACATACTTTTCAATGTGCATTGGAACAAGTCTCTTAAGACATGATTCAAAAGCAGCAGTGCCATTACAAAGCATAGGGTGGACTAAGGCATTTTGCCTCTCAGGCAATGTAAAAGTGCATGCTTTTCGTTGCTTTTTCTGTGAGGGGGGAGCGAGGGCGGAGCGAGGATGGAGTGAAGGGTGAAATGAAGGGTGGAGTGAAGGGCTGAGAAGGTCGCCAAAAATTGATACAAACGATAAACGATGCATATTTATTTCGTTTTTTGCTTGATCCACTGCTTGTGCTCCTTCCCTTGCCTTTTCACTTCTCCGCAAACTTGTTCTCTTCCATCCCCCTCTCCACCCTTCTACATGTTCATCTCTGCCTCCACTCAACACCTGCATTCCTGTTCTGAAGATAAGGTGCTAGGGGACAAAGGGGTGAAGAGGAGTGAGCATGCATGGAAAGCGGAGAGGGTTAAATGAAGTTGGGGTGATGGGCAGGGTCGCGATGAAGGGTTGGGCGGTGGGGTGTAATGAAAGGCAAATGGGTGGAGAGAAACAAAAATACGATACATACATAAACAGTTCATCCGGAACGGAAAATGCAAAAAAAATGCAACTTCCAACTTGCGACGTTGCATTTTCTCCGCTGCATTTTTTTGCAACTTTGATCAACTTTTGTATTTTTTTTACGAAAAAAAAAGTAAAAAATGCAAACAAAAATGCAACGGCACCAAAACAAATGCAACGGAGAATGCGAAAAAATGCAACTTCCAAAGTTGCATTTTCTGAGTTGCATTTTTTTTGCAACTTGCGACGTCGCATTTTCTTAGCTGATTTTTTTCCTTTTCGAAACTTGCGACATTGCATTTTCTAATTTGCTTGTATTTGGAAAGCTCCTCCAACAAGCAACACATTTAGGGGCTGGCAAACTGAGAAAAATCTCACTCCCAACCCTGAGTCTCCAAAACTAGTAAATTAACTAATTTAGTAAATTTACTAAAAGGGAAGAATTTACGTATTTTTTTCTCCAGTTTTCTTGATGTTAGTAAATTTTGTGAAAAACCAAAAGTGCATCAAAAGTGTATCAAAAGTGCATCGACCGTGCATTTTTTTCTTAGCATGTTTGATTGAAATTGTGATTTTGTAACACAAATGCAGCAGCATTTTTTAGATTTAGTGAATGTTGTTTTAGTTCACAATGTGACAATCCAATTTTTCCATAACAAAGGATTGGTTTTGTCACATACTTGTATGTTTAATGGATATGGCCAAGTAAAGCCAGAATCTTTGCAAGTGACCAGTCACGTAAGGACTTTTTATAGATTGCCAAAAGTAAAGTCAATATTCTCAGCACAACCCATCTCAAGTAAATTCTCTGATGGAAACATGTCTACCCTAAGTCTCCAAAGCTAGTAATTTCACTAATTTAGCAATTTTACTGATCCAGAAGATTTTGCATAATTTTTTTTGTGGATTTTTGCAGAATTAGTAAAATGTAAAAAAAAGGAAACGTGCATCAAAAGTGCATCAAGAATGCGCCAAAAGATGTGTGATAGCTTTTCCGAATTTCCGTGAATCTGATAGTGGAGACAGAAGGAATGTTAAATGTTGTGAGGAATGTGAAGAAATTAGCATGTGGAACCTGTATAAGTTTATGTCCTTTGAGTCCTTTGCTGCAAAATGTAAATACCATGAAAGAAAAACAAAATTTCTCCCAGTGACTTCTCAGGTAAAAGTAGATGTTCTGAAGTAAAGTCATCTTCGCAAACGATTTCTGAAGAAAAAAAAATATGAAATAAATTCAATGTAATACATATTGAAGGTATATACTTGACGTTATTTTGGCTCGTTGGCTTTTGCGGTTTCTTGGTTTTTGCATTTTTTACTTTTGAGTTTATTTGCATGCTTTTGTGAGAGGAATTGACATATGTTTTCAACAAGTGTCCTAATTAGCCCTTTTTTGGGCTCTGAAAACAGTATTTCAGGACACTTGTTGAAACCTATTCTCCCACTATATCTACTTGATTTGTGTTTCACCACGTTTTCCATGACTGTCACGGTTCTGCCTCAACATACGTTCCATATGGTCACAAGATGCATGTTGCCCAGTATTTTTCTCAGCCAAATCTTCTCCACGCGGACCTCCAAAATAAAATAAACATAATAAAAAAATAAAAAAAATTAAAATATATATTTATTTTATTTATTTTATTTATTAAAATTTGGAGCTCCTGAGAAAATAAATAAAATAAATATTTATTTTATTTTTTTTTTATTTTCTCCGGAGCTCCAAATTTTAATAAATAAAATATAAAAAAAAATATATTTATTTTCTCAGCCAAATCTTCTCCACACAAACCTCCAAAATAAAATAAATAAAATAAATTAACTAAATAAAATTAAAAAAATAAAAAAATGAATATTTATTTCATTTATTAAAATTTGGAGCTCCTGAGAAAATACATAAAATAAATAGAATAAATATTTATTCTATTTATTTTATTTATTAAAATTTAGAGCTCCTGAGAAAATAAATAAAATAAAAAAAAATATTTATTTTATCTATTAAATTTGTGAGCTCCTGAGAAAATAAATAAAATAAATAAAATAAATATTTATTTTATTTATTTATTTATTTTCTCAGAAGCTTTGAAATTTAATAATCAAATAAATAAAATAAACATTTATTTTCTCAGCCAAATCTTCTCCACACAGACCTCCAAAATAAAATAAATAAAATAAAAAAAATAAAAATAAAATAAAATAAATAAAATAAATAAAATAAATAATTATTTTATTTATTTTATTTATTAAAATTTGGAGCTCCTGAGAAAATAAATAAAATAAATATTTATTTTATTTATTTTATTTATTAAAATTTGGAGCTCCGGAGAAAATAAATAAAAAATAAAATTAAATATTTATTTTATTTATTTTCTCCGGAGCTCCAAATTTTAATAAATAAAATAAATAAAATAAATATTTATTTTCTCAGCCAAATTTCTCCACACAGACCTCCAAAATAAAATAAATAAAATAAATAAAATAAATAAAATAAATAAAATAAATATTTATTTTATTTATTTTATTTATTAAAATTTGGAGCTCCTGAGAAAATAAATTAAATAAATAGAATAAATAATTATTTTGTTGATTTATTTATTAAAATTTGGAGCTCCTGAGAAAATAAATAAAATAAATAAAATAAATATTTATTTTATTTATTAAAATTTGGAGCTCCGAAGAAAAAAAATAAAATAAATAAAATAAATAAAATAAATAAAATAAATAAAATAAATATGTATTTTATTTATTTTATTTATTTTATTTATTTTCTCAGGAGCTCCAAATTTTAATGAATAAAATAAATAAAATAATTATTTATTTTATTTATTTTATTTATTTTCTCCGGAGCTCCAAATTTGAATAAATAAAATTAATAAAATAAATATTTATTTTATTTATTTTATTTATTTTATTTACTTTATTTACTTTATTTATTTTATTTATTTTCTCCGGAGCTCCAAATTTTAATAAATAAAATAAATATTTATTTTCTCAGCCAAATCTTCTCCACACAGACCTTCAAAATAAAATAAATAAAATAAATAAAATAAATAAAATAAATATTTAATTTAAATTTTTAACGATAAAATAAAATAAAATAAATATTTATTTTATTTATTTTATTTATTAATTTAGAGCTCCTGAGAAAATAAATAAATAAATAAAATAAATAATTTATTTTATTTATTTTATTTATAAATTGAGCTCCTGAGAAAATTAAAATAAACAAAATAATATTAATTTATTTTATTTATTAGAATTTAGAGCTCCTGAGAAAATAAATAAAATAAATAAAATAAATATTATTTTATTTATTTTATTTATTAAAATTTGGAGCTCCTGAGAAAATAAATAAAATAAATAAAATAAATAATTATTTTATTTATTTTATTTATTTTATTTATTTTATTTATTTTATTTATTTTGTTTTGGAGGTCTGCGTGGAGAAGATTTGGCTAAGAAAATAAATATTTATTTTATTTATTTTATTTATTAAATTTTGAAGCTTCTGAGAAAATAAATAAAATAAATAAAATAAATATTTATTTTATTTATTTTATTTATTTTCTCCGGAGCTCCAAATTTTAATAAATAAAATAAATAAAATAAATATTTATTTTATTTATTTTATTTATTTTCTCAGGAGCTGCAAATTTTAATAAATAAAATAAATAAAATAAATATTTATTTTATTTATTTTATTTATTTTCTCAGAAGCTTCAAATTTTAATAAATTAAATAAATAAAATAAATATTTATTTTCTCAGCCAAATCTTCTCCACACAGACCTTCAAAATAAAATAAATAAAATAAATAAAATAAATAAAATAAATAATTATTTTATTTATTAAAATTTGGAGCTCCTGAGAAAATAAATAAAATAAATATTTATTTTATTTATTTTATTTATTAAAATTTAGAGCTCCTGAGAAAATAAATAAAATAAATAAGATAAATATTTATTTTATTTATTTTATTTATTTTGTTTTTGAGGTCTGCGTGGAGAAGATTTGGCTAAGAAAATAAATATTTATTTTATTTATTTTATTTATTAAATTTTGAAGCTTCTGAGACCATAAATAAAATAAACAAAATAAATATTTATTTTATTTATTTTATTTATTAAAATTTGGAGCTCCTGAGAAAATAAATAAAAGAAAAAAAATAAATATTTATTTTATTTATTTTATTTATTAAAATTTGGAGCTCCTGAGAAAATAAATAAAAGAAATATTTATTTTATTTATTTTATTTATTAAAATTTGGAGCTCCGGAGAAAAAAATAAATAAATAAATATTTATTTTATTTATTTTATTTATTTTATTTATTTTATTTATTTTGTTTATTTTAGTTTGGAGGTCTGCGTGGAGAAGATTTGGCTGAGAAAATAAATATTTATTTTATTTATTTTATTTATTAAAATTTGGAGCTCCTGAGAAAATAAATAAATAGAAATAAAATAAATAAAATAAATAAAATAAATAAAATAAATAAAATAAATAAAATAAATATTTATTTTATTTATTTTATTTATCAAAATTTAGAGCTCCTGAGAAAATAAATAAAATAAATAAAATAAATAAAATAAATTTTTATTTTATTTTTTGTATTTATTAAAATTTGGAGCTCCGGAGAAAATAAATAAAATAAATAAAATGAATATTTATTTTATTTATTTTATTTATTTTATATATTTTGTTTATTTTATTTTTTTTTTATTTTATTTATTTTCTCAGCGATATCTTCTCCACACAGACCTTCAAAATAAAATAAATAAAATAAATAAAATAAATTTTTATTTTATTTTTTGTATTTATTAAAATTTGGAGCTCCGGAGAAAATAAATAAAATAAATAAAATGAATATTTATTTTATTTATTTTATTTATTTTATATATTTTATTTATTTTATTTATTTTTTTTATTTTATTTATTTTCTCAGCCAATTCTTCTCCACACAGACCTTCAAAATAAAATAAATAAAATAAATAAAATAAACAAAATAAATTTTTATTTTATTTTTTGTATTTATTAAAATTTTGAGCTCCGGAGAAAATAAATAAAATAAATAAAATAAATATTTATTTTATTTATTTTATTTATTAAAATTTGGAGCTCCTGAGAAAATAAATAAAATAAATAAAATAAATAAAATAAATATTTATTTTATTTATTTTATTTATTAAAATTTAGAGCTCCTGAGAAAATAAATAAATAAAATAAATAAAATAAAATAAATATTTATTTTATTTATTTTATTTATTAAAATTTGGAGCTCCTGAGAAAATAAATAAAATAAATAAAATAAATATTTATTTTATTTATTTTATTTATTTTATTTTGGAGGTCTGCGTGGAGAAGATTTGGCTGTGAAAATAAATATTTATTTTATTTATTTTATTTATTAAAATTTAGAGCTCCTGAGAAAATAAATAAAATAAACAAAATAAATATTTATTTTATTTATTTTATTTATTAAAATTTAGAGCTCCTGAGAAAATAAATAAAATAAATATTTATTTTATTTATTAAAATTTAGAGCTCTAACTTAAAGGAAATTCAGAAGGAATCTTCAGCCGTCAAATAGTACAGAAAGGTCTCTCTAACATATATATATGTATATAGTTATCTTTAAACATCCTATATATATATTATAATTATGTATGTATGTATATATATAAGTATATGAGTATATATATATATATTTATGTATAAACGCGTCTAGCTGTCTATGACATTATAAACAATATATATATAAAACATATCACACATTATATAGTTATCCAGTGAAACCAATCATATCTCCTCCCAACGCGGCATCCAGAAAAACTGCTGGGCTATTTGCAGACACACCCAGAAAAACTGCTGGGCACTTTTTTGTCATGATATCCAATCCAACTATATACAACCATATATTCGATATTACCATATATTACCTATATACATATATATGTATGTGAATATATATATATATATGTGTATATATATATATTCAATGATATCCCAGATATCATAGTCATGTTTGCAGTTGAAGCCATATTTCAATTGGTTCTCAAGGATGACTCCCCGTAGAAAAAATGAGGCGCCTCCTGCCGATTCTTGGTATCCAAGCACGACCACGCACCGGAGCCTTGGGTCGTGCGGTCAACGCGTCAACGCAACGCGATCGAAAACGGGAACCTATATATATATATATATGTATGTATGTATGTACATTTGAAATTTAAAGTGTGTACGTCTATGACATGGTATGACATGGTATGACATGGTATGACATGGTATGCATGTACATATACATGCCATACATGCCACCACACGAGTCAACCCATGGGAACCGAATGTCCCAGGCTCCTCGCAAGCCCCAATGGTTGGGGTTGATTGGGGTTGACAACCCCAATGAGAGTCATCTAACTTGGGGGTTTCCACTGAATCACACGTGGATATGAAATCATATGAAAACATATGAAATCTAAATATATAATTTATTTCAATAATAGATTTAAAATTTATGATTTCAGTGCTACAAATCATCAGATATAGTAGATCTACTATATTTATATATATATATTTATATCTGGTGATCTCTCATCCCAGAGGGTTGACCAGTGACAGCCATTGATGTCAGGCAACGCTCCAGGGCTTCAGAGCAAGCAATGAAACTGGAGAGCTCCTTGATGCTTCCATCTACCTTGGCTGGGATATGTTTAAAAGATCTTCTAAAATAAGAGACCGCAACAAAAGTTGACCAGCAAAAATTGTGATTCACCCATCAATATGATCGTTGTAACATGTTTCAACAATCAAAGATGTTATTATTATTACTCCGGGTAAATTATAACATTTCACTAACCTGAATTAAGGCCATTTGGGGATGATTTCCCTTACTAACCATGATTCCCAGCGAGGTCGCAGTGAGGTCGTTTTTAATGGGTAAATCCACTATTTCTATGGCCATGTTCAATAGCTTTTTGTATGTTTACCAGAGGGTATGTCAAATTACCAAAGGCTACACTATCATTCTTAATATCATCATCATGGGATTGTCTACACATGGAATGGTTAATGTGGGATATGGATAATGTGGGTAAAACAACAATACCACATCCCCCAAATCACAAATTTTATAGATGATATAAACATGTATAAACCATTCCCAGTCATGGGTGGTTTATGACATTGTTTTTACCCACATTATGTCAAATTTCCAATTACTATTGGGTTTATTAACCACTATTAACCACTATTAACCACTATTAATCACTATTAACCACTATTAACCACTATTAATTCTTCCACTGTTATACTCATCTTATAACCATCAAACAATCTTGGTTTTCGGCTCGTCCTCTCGGGACGATCGGGACATTGTCGGGACAAAGGCACGGCCGGCGTGCCGGACGTGGCATCATCCTCCATGCCCGGTTCCGGGGAGCGTACCTTGGAGCGTCATCAGTTCCAGTTGGTTCAGAATGGGAATGGGATTCCCCGTTGGGCCAGTGATCATGTGGAGAATCCCCTATTTTGGCCTTGGTGATTGTAGAACTGGTTGGTGGTTTCAACCAACCCCTCTGAAAAATCATGGAGTTCGTCAGTTGGATATATAAATATACAACCAGTAGAGACTTGGGAAATCTGGACCCTAGACCCTGCAATCTCCTGGTTTTCACAGCAAATAGCTTGTAGGGAAGGATCTCTGCCCCCTGATTCATATATTTCACATGGACATCATGGGTATTGACCCATTCCCATATCCAGCTCTATGAAAATCAATACTGATCCATAGCTGACCAGCGGCTGGTTTCTTCCAAGATCCGGTCCTCCACAAGTGGAAGCTCCAGACTGTCTCCACTATCGAGTTCTGTGGTCTTGGACAGACCGTTTGAATGATCTTCTGCATAGAATGAGGGCAAACTTGTTGCATGTCATGGTCCAGCCAACCTATGTTGATTGGAATCAACATAGAACCATCATGAGCCATGATGCCAATTGAGCTCAAGGTGGTGCAGAAGGGTGACCGCTGCTTCTGCTGCGGGTTGGTCGATTTCAGTCAACATCAAGCCCGACTGCTTCATTGCTTTATGTATAATACATCCTATAGCCCTGTGTCCGCTGGCTGCTTACATTCCCGGTTCTTTTGCTTACATCCCCGTCTGATCAACATGTAAAAACCCATGGCTTTTTGACCTCCAAAAACCCCCCCAACCTCTGCCATAAATGGTGTAGAGATTCACCATCTTTGAGCACAAGATGGGGCCCCCAGTCGAGCTCGCGTTCAGTTGGTTTATAAGTGGTTGAATTCTATGGTTTATGGTAGATATTTCACGAACTAGTTAATGGGGATTAATTCATGGTTTATAAACCAACTTATAACTGGGGGGCCCCATCCTGCACCCAAAGATCAAATTCGTACCCTTCTGTCACCAAACATTGCAATTGACCAATTCCCGGGAAAATCCTCTCTGAATGAGGGATTTTACATTGCCACGTTTGATTACCAGCGGATATACTGTAGATACTGTACATCCACATTGTAAATTTTATCTGGATGATAATCCTACCATCCCCTAGCTATTGAACTGGTCTTTCTTCTGTTAGAAGTGTCGTTTTTCAACGATTTCCATATATACCATTAACAACTGACATTCATACTGACATTCACATCATTCATATAAATAGAATATTGGATTTGGTTTAACATCAATCCTAGAAAAATCGCCGGTATATACCCTCTGGTAAATTAACATAGACCCTGGCAGATAGGGGTTGGAAGACTAGTTATTAAAAATTGGTGATTTTCAGGGTCTATGTTTATTTACCAGAGGGTACCACTTGCCATTATGTTATATGTTCCAGTGATCTCCATGTTTTTCATGAAATACCAAGTACATACTGCCATGGATATAATTTACCCAGAAATACTGTGGTTGCGAAATCCACCACCAAAAGGATGGTTGAAACTGTACCCTAAAATAATGAGATCAAACACCTATCAAATCTATCAATTACCCTCTGGTAAACTAACATAACCATGGAAAATCACCATTTTTAATGGGTAAATCCACTATAAATCACCATTTTCAATAGCAAACTGTTGACATAACCAGAGGCTATCAACTGCTGCGGGATCTCCCAACCATCCACAGATGAAAGATGTGGTGCTCTTTTTTGGGCCCGGACGACCAGGGCATTCGCATTCTTGGTAGCTCCCAAAATGCTTCCTCGCAGCCGTGCAAAGCGCCTGCAGAACGTCGCAGCATGTCGCAGCAACGAACTGGGTTTGCCTGTAGTAACCTCCAGAAAGATATTGGGAGGTTGAACTGATCACTATTTTCATAGGATTTTACATACGATCTTTTTGGGGATAGAGTAGAATCACATAAATCAAAAAAGAAACTATCAAAGCCGAGTAGAATAACGTAAATCAAGATAGACACTATCAAAACCTATTATTTATTCTACCATGTTTGGAGGGGATGAACATCCATTTATCAGCTTCTTTGGTGCTCACTAGGTTACAATGGGGTTGTTCGGCACATATCCATGTGGAAAGCGCATGGATCTCCAATATTTACTTACCGGAGGGTATTCCCAAAAAATGTGGTAACCCAGAAATGAAATAATTTGAAGTTTCAAGCCCATAATTTTCACCTTTCTTGATGATCAAACTTGACGGGAATTCGAATAGTTTTCAATTAGCAAACAGCGCACCTCCGCTAAGCGTCACTGGTAGCGCTATTGCCCCTTCCGCAAGGATGTTCTTATTGCAGTTGCTTACCCAGTTTCCACCAAATACATCCCTTTACTTTTCTTTTTGCTCTTGCCTTCAACTATCTTGCAAGGCCCTACTCAAATACTCATCACATTCCTTTAACAGTTGGAGCATAAAACTCCTCAAAATTGTGAAAGTCACATTGATGCGTCCCATTCACGGCAAGGGATATTTCACTTTGGGATATATGATATGCTTGGGCAAACCATGACATCATGACAAACCCATATTCTAACTACAGTACCAAGCATACAAGCCAAATATGCCAACATATTCATGGAATTTATGAGGAGCCCGAAATTCTTGATGGGGGCCTACTCAGGAATCCCCTCCCATCTCCAATTGTCATCCAGGCTATCATCCCGGTCAACAGCATCAAGGGACCTGAAATTTTTACAGAACTAAGATATGCTAAGATGATCTAATAATACCCTCTGGTTGTCAACAGTTTGCTATTGAAAATGGCCATTGAAATAGTGAGTTTTCCCATGAAACATGGTGATTTTCCATAGTTATGCTAGTTTACCGGAGGGTAATAAACCACGGTTTCTGGGAAAGGCTGGAATATATTTGGGGAATCGGATTATCCTGGTTTCACGGAAATGGGAAATGGATGGATGCCACCAACTCTTTCAGTGACTCAGGTCTGCCATGGCATCTCACGTTCATATTCGAGAGCCTAGCACTAACAAACAGGAACAGATTTCGCGCGACTAACTGACTTTTTTTGCACAAGTGAACAAAAAACATAGAAACACCACAGCATCATTGTGGAAACCGCAGCAATCAATGCAGCAACAGGAGAAACTCCAAGCCTCGAAAGATCTTTGGGTAAAGCCACAAGCAAGTCGCTTGGAGTGTTCTCATCCATCCCTGCTTTTGTTGCCTGCGGGGTGAACCAAAAAAAAACAGGGCCACGAAAAGTCGAAAAACCATGGAAAAACCATGGAAAATCATCTGCAGACAAGAATAGATCAACTTGGCAATTCCATTGATCAGTTGCATTTTTTGTCACAATTCCAGTGGAATTGTAAGAAAATTCCATAGACTTCCCAACTTGATCAATTCCACTGACACCATATTTCCATAGACGTCCTAGGTCTTGTATTTTTGCTGTTTTTTTCACCTTGTCAGGCCAGGTGGATGGTGTATAAAACCCGGCAAACAGCGGGGATTTTTCACAAACCGAACAAAAAAGAGGGCTGGTTGGTGGTATACCTACCCCTTTGAAAAATATGAGTTCGTCAGTTGGGATTATTCTTCCCAATATATGGGAAAAATCCATTAAAATCATTTTAAATCCATTAAAATCCAGTAAACCACTACAATCCATTAATCCCAATAAGTCCCAATAATATAATTCATGTTCCAAATTCCAGTCACCACCAACCATGTTGGGGAAATTCTGGTTGATTTCCGTGAGCGTGGGTTTCATCATCACTAACCAATAACTGTCGGACTTCTGTTAGATACGAGCATATTGAACTACTTGTACAATATGGGTTTTTATAGTGGGTTTATATCTTTCAATATCTTGCCAAATTTGTTTTTTAGGTTTAACGCATTTTAAAGCACCATAAGTCATAGAGCTACCCCTAGTTATCATCCATTTGATTTTTGGATTTTCCATTACAAAAGACCATGAAGCGATAAAGGGGATCTCCATGACTATGGACGCCCCACAGATGGAATGATGGTCCCTATATGGGATACGAAATAACAAAAAGGGACCCGAAATTGACCACAAGGGCTGTTAAAGGAAATAGGGAACCCATAGGAAAACTAAAAAAAATGGGGAACCAATGTACAAATTGAGAAATACAATACCATACAATACCAATAAATTAGCTGTGTTCAATATCAGGAGAACTATTAATTCCCGGACCCAAACGGTACCCTAAGTCATAGCTGGTTACTGGATAGTTTATTCCAGTCATATATGGAGGTTTCCACCAACATATGGGTGATTACCCCAGTTATCATCCATTTATAGATGGAATTGTCCCTTATATCAATGGGTTGGTTTAAGGGAAAATCTACAGGAAAGAATGTTTTTCCCCACCAAATATGAGGTTTTCCTTTAGATTTTCCCTTAAACCAATCCAATGATTATAAACCACCCAGCGATAAAGGGGTACCCCCTATGACGATTTGGAAATCCCCCAAAAAAATAGAGGTGACCCGCCTTGTCAACGAGCTCAGCGAGTGGAGCTCGTAAAGAAGCCATGGCCTGCCATCATCATCATCTGGGTAAATTATAATATTTCACTAACCTGAATTAAGGCCATTTGGGGATGATTTCCCTTACTAACCATGATTTCCAGTGAGGTCGCAGTGAGGTCGTTATAATTTATCCAGATCATCATCATCATCTAAGTAGTGTGTATATAAATCTATCATAATCTAACTATAATCTAACTATAATGTGTACAAGTATTAAAATATATTATATACATATTCATATACATAAGATTTACAAAGATTTGA